TCCCTGTCCACCCTTTCTTTTCCATTACAGGGACAGTTAAAGTAGTTGTTGTGGTCTGGGTTCCTATCTCAACCATCATGTCCTCAAACACAGTTTGGGTCTCTGCATCAGTCACAGTCCTCTGAGAGTACTGAAATGTGGCTCGGTAGGCACAGGCCAGGCCCCAGCACAGGGTGAGAAGCTGCTGGATTTCATTGGGCTGGGCAAGGCACCCCTCTATCAGCTGATGGGTCAGTTTGTCAGGGTTGATTACCTGCTCATGTGTAAACTCCCAGGCAATGGGAGGTGATAACCGCCCTAGGAACCTGCCCAAATCCTTCCACACACCCTGCCACCCAGGAACCGACTTCTTCAGGGAGCATTTTGATATCACCTCACCCAAAATTTGTTTTCTCATATACCACCATGACATCAGATTCCACAAACCCCATGATACGCTTACAGTACTAATTAAACAGATCATGTAAGGATGAACAAGGACTGCGGGAGCCTGCATAATAAAAAAATCCACATAAATTCCTGGTAGGAAGAGAGAGATGTATTCCTGCATTGTCTCCACAAGATAGCTCCCCCAGCACAGCAAGGCCATCAATGCCAGGGAAAAGCACAGAGCCATTGTTTGTATTAACATGTTCCCAAACTCAGCAAAATAAAGAGATAAGCAGTGCAGCTGGCAAACTGCGATCTGCACGGGAGCTGGCTAGCGGATAACTAACACTACTACAGCATGCAATATATGTGGTGGGTCGACTCAGGCTGGATGCCAGGCGCCCACCGAGCCACTCTATCACACCCACCTTCTCAGCTGGGGAGAGAAAAATAAGACGTAGGTTGAGATAAAGCAGGTCAGCAAAGCAAAAGCAAAAGGTTGCGCACGCACAAGCAAAGGAAGAAAACCCAAAAATTTTATTCTCTACTTCCCATCAGTAAGTGATGTCCGGCCACTTCCCGGGAAGCAGGACTTCAGGAAACGTAGCAGTTGCTCTGAAGGCAAATGTTGCAAATAACAAGTGTTCCCCACTTCCTCCTCCTTTTCCTAGCTTTTTCAGCCGAGTAGACGTCATATGGTATGGAACATCCCTTTGGTCAGTTTGGGTCAGCTGGCCTAGTTGTGTCCCCTCCCAAGACCTTGCCCGTTCCCAGCCTACTGATATGGGGGCAGAATGTTGGAGAGACAGTCCTGAGGCTGTGCCAGCGCTGCTCAGCAGCAGCCAAAACTCTGGAGTGCTATCAGCTCCTCTCTAGCTCCCAATGCAAAGCACAGCGCTGTGAGGGCTGAACTCCATCTCATCCAGACCCAATGCAGGATCTTAGGCCACAAAGTAAACCCACAATTCTCAAGTAAAAGCTGGAAATTTAAATACAGGCACCCGTTTTTAAAAGTTTGGTATCACCCATCTTTCTTCTCCTTCCACCACTGGCAATCTGTTTATAAAGTGAACCAAAGGAATAAATTAATCTGGTAATCCTGGCTGCAACTGGGGAATGTCAGCAGCCCTCCCTGGCCACTAATGCAGCTTTTCTTCTGTGAGACAAGACAGAGATTCCTTTGATTTTTTTAACTACCAACAAAAATAAATGCTTAGTGGGAAAAGTAATCTTGGAAATGTAATCTTAAACTCGGGAGAAAACCTTAATACTGTTTACAGCACTTTCTATACATACTGCATTTGCTCTGCTGCTCTTCCTCACTGTATCATTCCTCCTACTTGTTATATTGGGACTTCAGAAACAGCTGGGAAGGAAACTGCATGGATCATTATTACCTTGATTATTTTTTGACATTACAGTACTCACATTACTCTTTTGATACACTACTTTTGTTCACACTACTTTTCATACTCAGAAATTACTAGCTCTTTTGAAAATTCATGCACAAGGGTGGGGGCAGGATTTTTGTACATATAGCAAATAGGCTATGAGAATGATGATAAATCTAAAACAACAGAATTCGCAACAAAGATGCATTGTTTTGAAGTATTTATCTTACAGAATTTTTCATTATATTCTTTGCAACTGTTTACAGTGTTTTTATCTCTTTCATTGTTATTACAGTTTAAAAGATTAACTAAAAATACCCTATGAATATTAAAACAGTGGAGCAGTCCAATTCGATTGCATATATTCTGCACACTCCAAGAAATTAGGATACAGGTTATCAGCAACTGTGCTTAATTAGTAAGAAACCTATTTAAATCTAATGATACACATGGTCAAGGTTGCTGCTGCTCAGTGGAGACAGTAGTTCTGCTTGGTTGGGATACTTTCAGATGGTGTAATCATTGAAACGGATGCTCTGCTCTGCTGTGCTCTGCTGGTTCAGGCTTGCAGTGGTTCTCTCACTTTCTCCCCAGCTGGCTGGGAACATTTTGCAATTGGAGCTGACGTAGCACCCAAAGGGCTCCCTGGCTGATGCCTTTAACTTCCCAACTCGTGCCTCCAGCACCAGTTGTGCACTGCCAGCTGGCCCACTGCACAACAAATCTGCTGCCGAGGACAGGGACGACTCTGGGACAAGGTCTGCTGTCAGCTCCCTTGACTTGAGTGCTGAACTGCCACTTTTTGGTAGGTTGGAAAAGCTTTATCATTAGCTCAAGGGTTCAGCACCACACTACAGACACCCCTGCTACCCCTACCACACAGAAGAGCAGCAATTGCAGCTGCCGGAATGATTTCAATGAGAAGTTTAAGAAGTTTGTGACTCCTGCTGCTATGACTTCCTCCTCAGCAAACACCCAATGATTTTTATACTTTTCATTGATGCTATAACACCTGAGAGCTGTTTACTAACCTGTGGGAAATGGAGATGAAGCCTTAGCTCAGCTCCTAGAAGAGCATGCCTCTCACTCAAGCCTTTTGTTGGCAGCCTCAGTGGCAAAGGGTCACCGAGCGAGTCACATGTTTTCTCAAACCAGACAGATGATCTCCCCAAATCACTCTGCTGGGCAAAATAAGAAAGCTTGCAAAATAGCTGATCTGTCACGCAGAAGTAACAAAAATTGGTTCAAAAGATAGAAGTTTCTTGTGGCCGTTAAATTCACTGTGAATAACTAAGACAGCATTTTAGATGAAGTACCAAAGCCAGGACAAAGTTTGCACAGTCAGCAGCGCTTGGCAGTGTGTCAGTATAACACAAGATGGCTCCACTTCCATCAACAAAGAGCTCAGTGCCACTGCAGCGTCCCTTGCATCCAACTAATCCTGACCATCGACTGAAACCAGACCTTCAGGCTGCCCCGTGTCAGTCCACTCAGCCCTCAGGGCCAAGGAGCAGAACAGCGCTGCAGCCTGCAACAGGGTGAGTTGGGAAGATAACACAAGCCTGGGGAAAAGCTGTGGAAAGGGACATAACTCCAAGCTACTTCACATATCAGCAGCTGTCTTCAGCAAAAAACTGCAAAATGGGAGACCACAGCCAGCCTTCAGTAGCTGGAAATATTTAAAGGCAGTATAAATATGGCTCTACTGATCCATCTATAGCTGAACATTCTAACTGTCCTCTTTTGAATTTTTGTTGTTTCCTTCTGGCTTTTCACATTCAAAATATCCCTCAGAATCAATGCAGACGTTTTGTGAAAAGGCTTGGTTTGAAACCTTGTCTGCACTAGTTCCTATATAAAGTTTCACTGGGGTTTTGCTAGTACAGTCCTGCTGCTAAGTATTGATGTTCTCAGCATAGACTGGTGGAAGAATGACAGAAAAGCTGAGGCAGAAAAGACCAAAAACATCAGCACCAACCACAATAACAGCAGGTGGAGAGAGAGAGGAGCGGGAAAGACCAGTAAGTGTGCAGGGAGAATGGAAAACCAGAAGGCTTTAGAGAAAATATTAAAGGAGAAGGAAATGTAAGAGAGGAGAAAATTTATACTCCAACCCTAAACCACCTCCTGGGAGCAGGAGACTGATTTGGAGCAAGCGTTTGCCCTGGGCACAGGTGGCTCAGTGTAACCGTACAGTCTGAAGGGACTGGAAACATGAATGCAGGTGCACACACTTAGTGCACCTATTTAGAAGTAGAACAGGACTACTTGTCACTGTGGACATGTTTGGCTGGCAGGGAATACCCATGCAAAATGATGCCGTGCATTTTGGGGCCCACCAGTACACTTTTAGAAAACACTGAACCCCTTCAGCCGTCTTGTGTTCGGCTAGATCCAAAGCCTTACTTCCTACGGAAAGTTCTTCTGGAATACAAGTGTCATTTCAGTGGTATGGTTTCACTGTTCAGGAAAAAAACCACCACCATAATACACAGAACGTTCTCAAAAGAAACCCCCAAAAAAACCCAAAACAATCCAGCCCCAGTCTCCCATCGTTTTAGGTGAGTCTTTGCCTGATCCACTGGACTTCACAACCTTCACTTCCATGGCCTTCCTCCTGCTGGTCCTGTTCCCTTCTCACCTGGATGAAGGCCCACAGGGCGACAGGGAGATGAAATCTGCTCACCCAGAATGTTAGCCACTCCAGTCATGATGGTGAAGGAAACAGTCTGACCAAGCTTCACTATCCACCCAAGGGACAGAGCACTGGATACCTGGCATAGCACTTCGTCACAGCAGGTTTGTTTTGGTGTGGGGTGACCATGAAGAATAAAAAGGCCTGCCCTGGAACAGCTGTGGTAATACTTAGAAAATGCCAAAATGGAAAAGATCCCAGTAACAGACATGGAGTCATTTATATCCACAGTGAAAAAAACATTAAAAAAACAGAACAAGACCAGCTCTGTACTATTGATTTTCAGATAAATATCTGGGTCTGGGAGTGACTGCAAGCACAAAATGAGACGACTTGGATGGAAAGTTGAATGCTATTTTGGCTCTCCCATGACCTTGCTGGCCATATGCTCTATGAAGATTCTTCATCAGAACTGTAATTTGGTTACCATTACAACAGTTCCCGGCTTCCCAGCAGCAGCTTGCTGGAGCTGCTGAGGTCAAACACAAATTTCTTGGTTTTTTGAGCTATATGAATGATCATTAAACAAGATTGCTAAAGAAGCAAACTGTCAAAGTCATTTCATTTATTTCTCAATATCACATCTGTACAATTTTCATACATACAGCAGGAAATGCACATTGGTTACACAATGGCATTTGGCTGCATTTCCAAGTATAATACAGTAAGTGCAATGCCACTTGAAATGTACATTTATACAACTTAAACAAATTAAGGATTGCTACACCACTATCTGTGACAGTATAAAGCTTCATTTATGTTATGTCTCGTTACTAAACCACTTCCTGGTTAAATACAAAACATATTCAATCATTTAAAAACGGCCTTTGTGGTACCTGGCCAGCATATAAAATATTTGTTGTTTAAAATTTAACCATTAACTTTTTGTTTTAAAAAATAATCCTCTAAGCCTATTTAAACATTTGCTATTGAACTGTTATACTGACACTTTGTAGCAGGAACCAAATTTTACCCTCGTTTTGTTTGTTCTTGCTTATCACCAAAAGAAATTACATTGCAATGTATTGCAGCTTTATTCAGATACAGCCAGGTGGTTAAAGTATTTATCAATTTTGCTCAAAAGGTAAATAATATTTTTCATTAAAGAAACCCAAATTACATTTCAGAGATATTTGTCAAAATTTTAATGGGTAGAGTGCTACCAGGACTTAAAAAAAAAAAAAAAAAAAAAAAAAAAAAAAAAAAAAAAAAAAAAAAAAAAAAAAAAAAAGAAAGATAAAAAAGAAATAAAGAAAATTATTAATTTCTCTTTTAAGAAAAACCCGAATATTCTTATAATTTTACTTTTGGAATACATTGGTCCACAGACCACATTCTTGTTACAGCTTACCAAATGAAACCCAAAATTTCTTATTGCCGTCCCTGTAACAGGAATGGTTCAGTTTTAAACCTCCTTTAAAAATATACATTTTACAATCCTTTCACCTCAACAAAGGTGACACTGACAATAAATACACTGGTTTGGTGGGTTTTATCCTTCACTATGAAAAGTCCACAAAGTCCACAAAGTCTACCTGTTGTATGCCCTTTCTTTTTTAGATTTCTCTAATGCCTTGTCCATAGTTTTCTCGTTTTCTCCTCTACATTTGGGGCAGTACCATTTGCCCTTTGGTTTATGGTTGAGTCCCACACAAGAAAAGTGAAACCATTCAATGGGGCACTCATCATTATCACATCCTATCATTTCTCCATAGGAGACTTGGTTGCACAAGCAGTATGTTGGCTCATTAGGGTCAATAGGAAGGTCAGGGGGAGAAGCTTCGCGCTCTGCTTTAGCCTTGGATCGTTTCTTCTTCTTGGATGTTTTTGCTTTCTTCTCCTTTGGTGTTCCTGAGGTGATGTCATCATGATCATGATTATTTGAGGCATTTTCTCGATTCTCATTATTCCGTTGCCTCCTTGATCTCTTGTTGTTAGGCTTTTCAGCCTGTGCGATTGCCTCATTCTTCGACTTGTCCTGGCTGGCTTTCCCGCTGTTTCCAGTGGTGTCATTAGTCTCTTGACAGGTCTCAAACAGTTCCACGTGGCTGTCCACTTGCCTTGTTCTGTTCTCAACGAGCTCCACCATCTGACTGACGATTTGGATCTTCTCATCCCCCAGTTCCTGACTTCGAATCAAGGCTCTCTGTATGCAGTGCAACATTCTTCTCTTCTGCACAGCATCTGTCTCCCGTTTAAATTTTTCGTAGTAATCATCCAGATCCTTCAGAATCTCTGCAAAGAAGAAATAAAAACTATAAATATTTTTGACAGGGAGAATGGCAAAACAAAACCTCCCATTTTTTCTTCCATACAGCAAGAACTTCTTGTAACTTGCAGCACCGATCGAAGACAGATGCCCTGAAACTTGTATCTGGCAAGCAGCTCGTGACTCCACTGGACTACTTTTGTTCTAGGTGGTCCCACAGGAATGGAATACAAATGCTGGTTAAGAAGAAAAAAGTGGCTAAATATATTTTTATGTATGTTGTTGATAATACTTCCCTTTAAACTTTTCAGTAATTAAAAAGAACTAATTAAACCAACACACATACCATCAAAAGTTCCAAGGTTAACTTCAAAATTAGAGGGGAAATGAATGGACATTTTCTGTATAAGAACATTAACATTTTCAGTGAATGACAGAGTGGGACAGAAAGAAAGCACAAACCAGTGTAGAAACATGTTCCTGGGTTATTTGACAGGAGATGCAGAAGCACCAAATACATGGTCTGGACCCAAAGCTATTGCATCCAATACTGTTGAGATAGTTCTGCTGCAAATATGAGGCCATGTAAATCCCTGGATTGCAGAATTTGGATTACAATATCCAGGATGTTTAGATTATTTAACACCTATACTTTCTGTAAAATATACATAGCTATTCTTTAAAACACATAAACATTATCTTCATTAAATATTTCCTGCAGAGCAGAAAGTTGAAAGGAGGTAAAGTTGAAAGATAACATTAAGATTATAGGCAACAATGGGAATCAGCTAGAGCTTCTGCTTTAAAATATATTACATCCCGAGTTGCACCTCAAGGATTGTTCTGTTTATAAAAAACAACAATGCACAAAATATCGAAAGTTTCAAGAGTGGCTCTAGAAACCTATTTTTAAGGAGATGTTTTTGAGCTTCATTATGATACACAAATCAACTACAGCATATGGAACACTTAGCACTCCATATTAAGTCCTCAAAAACACACTGAATGCTTTTTCTGCATCTCCTTTCTTCTCTGAATTTTCTCTTCCTCACAGGTTAGAACAGATATATGTCTTCTTAAAGAAGACAAATATATATTAAAAAAAAATATAAATATAAACCTCAATTAATCTAACAGAAACCAGGATCTCTCATACATGCCAATGGCATTACCAAAACTTTTTTTTTAATGTATCTGTTATTTATTTATTCATAGGAGAATATGACACATATGCAAACCAAGAGTCACCCTGTGGTTTAGGTTTTGGCTTTCCTCGGCAGAGTTTTTAAACATACATGATTTTCAGTGAAGACATGGAAATATTATGCAAGATTTACTTCAGATTTTAGAGCTGCAGTTTGTGCTTCACACATTGGTTAAGCATGACCTGTCAGCTGGTTCTGCAATATAACCTATCTGACTAAATGAGTATTTCGGTATGTTATTGACCATTTTAAGGAACTGGCGGGGGGTTTTTTAACGTAAAAAAAAAAAAAAAAAAAAAAAAAAGGCCCAAAACAATAAAAAAACTACCAAAAAGACATCCAAGCCCAAGATGCCACCAAAAGATCCTTCAAACGTACAGTAGATTCTAGATTCAGGAAGGCTGAAAAAGTAGTTACTGATTTTCAGTGGCCGAACTGCATAAGTCTTATGCGTTAGGCTTTGGCACTTGACTGATGTCATCAGTTTAACCCATGTGATCTGTCTCAGCACCACGAAACAATTACGGACTGAAGCTCGGCGCTGGGAACACTTCGGTCTAGCACGCACGCTGCGGCTCCCGGCGCGGCGCAGCCGTGCGGGAGGAGCGCTGGCGGCAGGCCGGGCTCCCGCAGCGCGCGGCCCGGCACGGGCGTGTTTGGAATGCGAGCCGCGCAGCGGAAGCTGCCGCGGAGCCGAGCGCTCCGCTCCGGCAGAGCCATCGCGGCCGTGCCGCGGCTCGGGGCCGGCTGGCTGCCCGCCTCGGCTGCCTCGGCTCGGGCAATGCCAGGACCGCGCCGCAGCAGCGGGAGGGCACAGCTGCGCTCCGAGCCGTCAGCGACCGCACGCTCCCGGCACCACAAACGGAGGGATACCGTGCCGCCGGGGCTTCGCTCCCAGCGCAGCCCCGCAGCCTCGCGGGGACTGAGGCGCCGCGGAACCACGGCGAGTCGGACACGGGTGAGGGCCCGGCCTCCTCCCCGCCCCTCTGCGGCGCGCGAGGCCGCCCCGGAGGTGACGGAGCCGCCATTGTTCTCGGGCAGGAAACCGGGACGTCCCCGCGGAGGTCCCGGGGCCGCGGGGCGACCCCGCCCCCGTCGTCCCGAGCGGGCCGTCCCGCGGTAACGAAAGAGTGATTGACACGGAGCCGCGGCCAATCACGGCGGGCGGGAGCGCGCTCGCACCCGCCCCCTCCGGCCGGTCACGAGCGAGGCGCGGCTAGAGCAGCGGCGCCCCCCCCAGCCCGGGACACGTCACTCACTCTCCGGACGGCCAAGGTGGCCCCGCCCCCTGCTGCGAACCCGGCCAATCAGAGCGCGCCTGCCGGGGCCGGCCGAGATATTCAAATCAACCCCACGGAAAAGTTGCTTCTGGAAACGTCACGACGGGGCGGGGGCGCGAGACGGGCCGGCCCGGCCCCGGAGCCAATCCGCGCGGGGAGGCGGGGCACGGCCGGCCCGTGGGGACGCCCCCGCCCTATCAGTGCCCCCGATGGGCGTGGCGAACCGCGATATGCTAACGAGGTCTGCCTATAAAAACAGCACGGACGCCCCTTCCTAGCACAGCGCGGAGGTGCCCGCTGGATGTGGCTTGGTGGAGCGCGATGCCCGCTCTGTCCTTTTCTTCCATTCCCACCCCCGACAAGCTCTCGTGGGCTCCCGAAGAAGTTTCCCCCGGACACTTCCCCCGGGAGCTGACGGGCTCCCATAGTGAGCTGCCCGAGGAGCGGCTGAAGCAATGGCAGGCAGGGCTCGCAGCCCACCGCCCCTAAGGCCACATGCACGGGTGCGCGGGCAGGGAGAGGGGGTCCCCCCTCCCGGCACCCCGGCTGTCACCGCTACCTGCGGCACAGAATAAAGCGCCCCCCCTCCCCCCTCCCTTCCCGAGCGGACGCTAGCGACCAAGTGACAAAGCTACCCCGAGTCCCGCAAACCGGCCTCCCCTTCCTTCCCTCCGCCCGTGGGGACGGGGACGGCGTGCCCCGGGCGCGGGGAGGGAGGGGGGCGTTCAGCCCAGCCGCAAACGCGACCGTGTGTGTCGTCGCCCCCCACTCACACCGCACACGCCGGTCCTGCCCCCTCGACCCCTCCCGCCCAACGGAGCGGGGCTGTTTTACCGGGTGAAACGAAACCCACCGAGAAGGGAGCGAAGAAAGCACACCCTGCCCCCCACTCTCGCCTAACCCCCCTCTCCTCCCTCCTTCCTTCCCTCCCTCCTTCACTAGCTGCCTCTCTCCCCTACTACAGCCATAATGAATACTGTACATTCCTAAATGTTGTGCTGTAATCTCTTCCCCTTCTATCCACCCAGCACTTTCTTCCGTACCCCCAAACCCTTCCACCTCAGCCCCACGGCCAGGGACGGCCCCCCTTTGTGCACCGCACACCCCACTTCCCTGCCCCCGCCTTCTTGGCCAGCAATTTACACAGAAAAGCAGAGTCCTTGCTTAGTAAGAAAAGCCGGAGACCTTTTGTTCCGCCCCATGACAAGAGCTAACGCTGCAGATCAGTCCCCCTCTCTCCTCGGATCTTTCCTCCCGGCTTTCTTCCTCCTTTTACCTCCCAAAAATAAAGCTACCATCCCTGTGGGGTGCAGAGGGGCAAACGGAGCCGAGGCTCAGCTCTAAAGAAAAGAAAGACACCCTTCCCCCCTGAGCCCCAAGCCACACACACGGACACACACATATATAGAAAACACTTACCTTGATATTTGGCGTCAATTTCCCTCATCAAGGAGACATTTCTCTGCAGATCGAAGGGCATAGACTCGATGGAGTCCAGATAATCCTCCACATAGTTCACTAGGTGAAGCTGGTCTCCGTTTGCAGGACTCAACATTTTCATCCGGCAAAGAAACAAAAATCCTTCCCCACACCTCTCCGTGTGAGAGCAAGTGCTGCTCCCTTCAAAGACGGTAACCCCGATGAAGGTCTCACTCCCTGTCCACCTCTCTCGGTAGCTCCCCCCAAAAAACCGAGGGAAGCTACATCTGACTCCTCTTGTGTGAAAAAGAGGGAGAGAGAGACACACACACACCCTCCGCTAGTCCCCTACAGCCAGCAGCAGCTGATTGAATGGCTGTCGTTGTGGGTAATTCACGAAGGAGGTGGTAAGAACAATCAGAGGGATTTGTGTGTGTGTGTGGAGGGGAGGGGGGGAGGAGGAGGAGGAGAAAGGAGCGGGGCTCAAACCAGCTCCTCCGAAACAATCTGGAAACAAAATGTGCTCTGCAAAGTGTCTGTCAGAGGCAGCGGCAGCCCCTCTGCCTGCGCCAGCGCCGCTCTGCTCCGCTTCTCCTCCGCTCCCCCCTTCCCCGCTCTCCTCCTCACCGCCGCCGCCGCTCCCCGGCGATATCAACGCAGCCTCCTCGCTCCCATACGCCGCGCTAGATCCAACGTGGAAAACCCAAATACCAGTTTCAAACACTTGGGAAACATTCGGCCCCGCCAGCCAGGGCGCATGCGCTCTCTCCCAGCGCTGTGTACACACACACACACACACACACACACTCTCTCTCTCACACACTCACCGCACACACTCAATCCCTTCCCCCGCCCGGAACCTCCGCATATCCATCGTCCCGCCTCCCTTACTCACGTTTGGGGAGGGAGGGAAGGCGGCGGGGATGCGGGCCGAGCCAGGGGGCGGGCGGCGCAGCGCCGGCGTGGGCGTGGGGTGAAGGAAGCCCCGGGGAAGGCGGAGGCTCCGGTGAAGTTGTGCAGCGGCTGCGAGGCGAGCGGCCCGCGGGGAGGCTGGGGGGATCGCGGGGGCAAGTGAATGCTTTTGCGGTAGGGTACCGGGACTTTGGAGGAGTCTCGCCTCCTGCCAGCTCGCCCCGGGATGGAGCGGCTCCGAAGGCTTTCTTAGGAGAGGGGAACACTGAGAAGCACGCGATCCCCGCGCTGCAGGCAGGGCTGTGCCCGGCGCGGCGCCGGACGCCGAGGGGAAACGGGGAGCGTTCCGTCCCTCCCTCCTCAGCGGGCACCCGCATCCATCACCCCGCGGCGCCTGACAGCCGCTCCAGCCAATCAGCGCGCCCCTCGCGTCCCGCCCCGCGGCTCCCTCGGCCAATCCCCGCTGTGACACCGCTGCCCGGGATACCGCGCGCCGCGGCAGAGGGGGCGGTAACGCCCGAGGGGAGGGGGCGGGCCTGCGCACGCGCGATTCCTCTGGCGACGGGAGAAAATGGAGCCCTTAGGGACGCAGCGTGCCTACGTTTCCCAGCGGTCCCCGGGCGGCTGCGCATGCGCGAGGCAGGGCTGGCTGGAAGGCGGGAGGGGAGGAAGAGGGAAGGAGGGTGGCCGGCCGGCCGAGCGAGCTTGCTGCGGCTCCCTCAGCCCGCGCAGTGGTGAGGGAAGGGTCACCGGGAGACGCCGCCGGCGGCTGCGTTGTAGAGCAGGCCGGCGGCGGAACGCCCCCGCCCCGCAGGGTTGCCGGCGGAAAGGGCTCACTGCCGGCGAGGAGGAGAAGAAGGGGCGCCCGGGTACAGCCCTGTGCTGCCCGTCTTCTGCCCGCCACAGTGACCGGCGGCCGTGCGGAGGAACTCCGCTGTCGGTCAGCGTCGCCTTTGTGTCCCGGAGCCGCTGCCGCGTCCCGGAGCCCGCAGGCACCGGCTCTGCCGGGATCGAGGAGCGGGGAAGGCGGGGCTGGACAGACCTACCCTAGCTCTGCTGAAGCAAAACAGCGTGCGCTTTCTGCCTCTTGTTTTTTTTAGCAGACGTCACTGGCAATCCCCTAATTTAGGGGAGACTGAGTCATCGCTTCTGAGCGGCCAGACTCGCTGGTGCAGGCGCTGCTCAGCGATCTGGCGCTGCGGGAGCGGCGGCCTGGTGGGCACCTCAGCCCCTGCTAAATGGTTTTGCTGCTGCCATCAGCTTGGTGCGTGAACGCCAGAATTGGGGTTTTCAGGGAAGAACAGGCAGCTGTTTAGTAATATTTCCAGTATTCTCCCTTCCACCCTCCACTGGGAGACATGCACCCATAACTTTCTGAGGAGTGGAGACGGTACCGCAGACCAAACTTTTTGAACCGATACCGACCCACTGTTTCGGGCAGATGTCAGAGGCACTTCCTTGTTTTCTGAACATCCCTGTAAGTTCTCCTGTTATTTTCTTCCTCTCATTTGCTGTTTCCAAGAGTTGCTGCAAAAAAATGAGCTGCTAAAGTAAACCTCACATACACAAGATCTCAGCTTTTTAACTTAGAAGCACCATGACATCTAGGCAGTGCTCCAAGCCAGTGTTTCTGGACCTGTGTGCTTTGGTTTACTGCGGCATAGAGAGAGAGTTGTCTAATGGCTGCACTAGCCTGGGAATAGGTATTCCTATTCCAATTCTAGATTGTTGGCACCTATCTGGTAGTTAAAGCCTTCTTTGCCTTCAAGAAGGTGAGCCACTGTCGGCAATTAAAGGTAGTTAACAGTCCCCTGGGTAGTGTAAGAATTTATGCCAATAATTATGACTCAATAGAGGCAAGCCATCTGTAAAGAATACAGATGAGTCCTAAAAAGAGTCATTCTTGCAAAAAAGGTAATCATCATTCTAGATGCACACAAGTAATTACACATATGAATAAGAAATTATTTTGTAAAAGTACCTGCTAATTTACTAAACATGAAGTTTTTCCCCCCTCTTAGAAGATTAAAAAAAATAAAAATAAAAATTAGGAAGGGAAACGCTGAAGTGTAATAGTAGCCTGCTAAGTTGCAGCAATACTATCTTTCAACAAAAGTATTGATAGTTCGGATGTGCTGAGTTTCGAGAACTTGGTATCATCTGGCTCTTAAAAGTGCTGTCTGCTAGATCCTCCTCTCTTAGCTTCTTATATGTTACTAGAAGAGTGACAGAGAAAACCATCAGGGGATTTTGCACAAGTCTTTGAGACAGGAAGGGGCTGAGCTCCCCTGAGAATGCATTTGGTATCCTCTTTGAAGGTCCTCTTTTACAGCTCTTCCAGATGATGCTCAGTGCTTTCTATAGTGCTGTAATGAAATATATACCTGTACCCAGAAATATCAGTTCTCTGCAACCCCCTCTAAGCTCAGCAGCAGGTCAGCCATTGTTTTAGAAAGCTGGCAGGGGAGGGGGGAAGGGAAGGATAAAATCAGGTGTTATGAGTACAACTCTAGAGTGGAAAGTTTTAGAAGGTATGGAGCTGATGCCCACTGCTCATCTCTGTTTTTTCTCCTTTTCCTCTGCTTTCTTCTTATTTGGCCTCTCGTCTCTGACCTACAGTAGGTGAGAGATGAGAGATTTTGAATAGAGTTTCAGATGTTTTTTTCATATTAGGGGTCCATTTCTTACCCTGGAGAAAAAATTTACAAGTAGAAGTGAGTGTCATGAATCAAAGAAAGAAGAGACTCTTGGGCTTCATTTTCTTCCTATTTCCTGTATTTGACTAGAGGATAAAAGTGTGAATCTCTTCTCCTTTGGCTCCCAAGCCCCTTTGCTCTGTTTATGAAAAATCTTTCCTATTTAGAAACCCAAATATCTGAGGTTTTCAGAAGTTTCTTGAAGCTGTTGCCTTACTACAGATCTAAACTCACAGCAATTGGAATCAAGGGAACTTACAACCAGATCAACAACTTGCACAACAACTGTGTCATATATATATACTATGTGTGTATATACAAAATATACTTCATATAATAGAAATGTTTTAGTAATTATAGTTGTTCCACTCATTATGGTTATCCCAGCTTCCCAGCTAATCAGCACAAAGTTCAGAATACTTGATATGAGGAACAGAAAATGCCAAACCTCCAAATGTTCCACAAATGCACATACTGCATAGCTGATATGAGGAATTCTGGCTGCCTCTTTTCTCCTTCTCTGCCTTAGCTGAATATTGCTGTATGAAATACTATGAGATACAGCTGTGTCTCTGTTAATTAGAAGAAATAGTGTCTTCTGATCATTTGTCATTGTACTTTATAGTACAGACGAATCAGATGGGTTTATTCCTCCTAATGAATTGCTGTTTCTGCACCATTTAATAGCTTAATCCCTCTTCTATAGTTACATATGCTTGGAGGGTTTTTCCTTGCTTGTTTATCTGTTTGTTCTTTACGAGGCTAAATTCATTCTTATGTGGATGATGGCAATATAATTTTACAAGTCTGTTCGTTTTGCTTGTGGTTGTAAGTTTTGAAACAGAAGTACAAACAATTAACATGCAAGATGAGCAGAGCTGAGGTTTGCAAGTATGAAGACCAGCAGAGTCATGGCTCACCCTCTCATGCAATATGCATTGGCTGTGCCCTGGATAGCATATACTGTTTACAGATATTTAGGCCAGAATTACCTGTTCATGTCACCAAATAATGTTGGATGAATAGATTCTAAAATCTGGAAAACAAATCTAGTTGTGTTTGTCCTTTTGCAGCACAATATAGGATCAAGAACTTAATGAACTTTCCAAATGCCTACCTAACACTGGCCTGCCATTCTAAACTTCTCCCTTTTTTTAGCAAGTATTTCACATCTCTTCTGCTTGCCCCATGGCAGTTGCACTCACTGCCTCTTTTCACACCTATTCTCTGACTACTGCCTTCTTTTTCTTTCCTGCTGCACTGGTGCACTTCCAAAGCACAGTGAGCTTAAACAGTATTACACTGACATTAAAGGTCAGCAAAAAATTTTGACTGGCACAAGTAAATGTGCATTGCAGTAGAAGGCTGAGGCAAATGCATCTGAGTTGTCCCAGAGTGTCAATGGAATGAACACAGATCAAGGGCAACATATTCCATGGGCTTTGCATTCCTTTAGTGAATTCAAGAGAGACCTACCTCAGCAGTTGGCGACCACTGACAAAGACACTAATCTGAAACCTGACTGAATTCATACCAACCCTCAGACTTGTTTCTGTCAGCTATGGTGCAGGACATAAACACTTCTAATGAAAAACAGGCAGTGTATGTCAGAACAGTTGGTGGGTAGGTTTTCTGAACAGTAGTAGGTTGTGCTAAAAGCTAATAGACTTGTGGTAAGAGCGAGAAAGTTTAGTTGGTTATATATGGTCACCACCAATGAATTTTCTCTTGCAGTGCTACCCCCTGTCCCCAGAATGACTCTTTTCAAATAGGTTTCTCAAGATGATTTCTCTTTTATGAAACATACTTTTCACCTTGCAAATATTTGGTGGAATGGCCACTCAACATTTACAATATTTCTGAGCCAAGCACTTGTAGTAAGATTGAGGCAATTTTCAGTCTCCTTTTAAAAATCGAACAAGATTCTGAAACAAACCAATAAGCACCTAGATTTTGTAAAAATAAAAGACTGTAAAAGTTTAGTCAAAATGTGCCTGTAATTACAGATTACTACAGAGCACCAAGAGAAATTCAGTCCACTGCAGTGAATTTAGCTCATCTTTGCTTCTGGTTTGTAATTTGTCTTTATAACCTTTGCCCCCGTATTTTCTTAGGTTCAGGCTTCCTTGCAGGTTTCTCAACTAGAACTTGATGAGAAGGGCCACAGACACTGGAAACATGCTCTTGCTTAGCACAGCCAATGCAACCTTTTTCCTGTCAACAATTCTAAATTGGTGTGGTTGAATTTTTTATAAGAAAAAATACAGCATCTTTAGCAGTGAGGTGAAACTAAAAAATAACAAAGCATGTGTCTCTTAATGCTACATGGAAATGGAAAATTGTTTTTTAGCTTTATTCATGTATAATACAAAATATGCATCTTACCTCTGGGGGCAAATGTTATGGGTATTCCTGGGACTGGAAACTGGAAAATATAGAAGCCAGGCAAGCCAAAATCCCCAAAAATCCTCCCTGCTCACTACAGAAATGTTGCCAGCACTGCTGGTGGGCAGCACACACAGCTGTGCTTCTAACAGACTTCCATCTTGATCAAGGATGGAGGGGAAACGTACATATTGCCTTCTTACACACAGAGATAAAGGAACAGAAAACATAGAGATCCCTTCTAAGGTGTTCAGGAGTCACCCCTTTACCTTTGAGTTTCCGTTTTTGATTTAAAGGAAGTTTTAGCCTTGATGACTCCTAAGAAAAACATGAGAACATGACCTGACAATATTAAATCCATGTGTGTCCTCTTGAAACAACAATTTACCTGAAGCTCAGACAGACATCCCACAGTGGGATTGTGACTAAGAGCTGTACTGCTCTGCAGATCATATTTCCTCCTGGCTATTCAGCAAGTACTGAAGTAACAGGAGTACAGCAGGCCCAGGCCTGGCACTGATCATGTGTACCTCGGCTCCAACTGCTCACAACCACCAAAGGCATCTTCTACTCCAGGTGGAAGCAAAAGTCTCCTTATGGCATAAAATCTTTTGCTGCTATTCTGCCTTTCTGGTAGATGACTTGTGTCCTTGCACATGTCCCAGAGCAGGAGTACATAGGTGACATAAAGTGGGGGCATGCTTACAGCCACAGACCAACTGATTCTGAGAATGCTGGTATTGTTAACATGAATAATTTATGTTTTTTATCCACCAGGATTAGTTTTGCTTTTATTTGAAATTAGGTTCTTTTTGAACTTCTGTGTTTGTAGAACACTTTCCACCATTCCACTGGATGTATTCTATTGCATTAAATCTCAAGCATGAATGATGTAAGCTGTTTATTTCAGACATTTATTAATTGTGACTTTTCCCACTGTCAGAAAATAACATTTTACAGCAGCACAGTTTTGGTACTAAATGCTAAAAGCCAGTGTGGCTAGCACAGACACTAAGCCTTCTGAAACCAATGGGAAAGAAAAGGCTCTTGCATTCTTCTGATCTGTTGGCAGTTTTATCCATGATAGCTAAACCTGGAATTAAGCCTAAAAAACATCCATTGTTACTTAGTATTGATTTGTACTCTGTCAAAGTGCTTGGAACCATACAGAACAAAGAAGACAACACAGTTAATGACAACTCTTAACTAGATGTGTTTTGAACAGCAGGACATCAAAACCAGGTCATTATGGAAACTGAAATAATTGGCTTGTGAAGCTTCCTGAGAAACATACAAAGCAAACATTTACAAAGGTTATTGGATGGTATCCTGAATTTCATCCTAGGTAGTCTTAAATTAACAAGCCCATAAAATAGGTTTCTTGTTTGATCAAAAAGTTCAGATTGTTAAATGACAAATTCTATGGAAAGTACCTATTAAAAGGAAAAGGAAACATATGCCACTGGTAGGGCTTTATATCTGATATGATCTAAAATTAAGTAAGGTGTAGACAGACATCAAGTATAATGTAAAAGCAATAATTTTAAATTATCTCATTACTTATGAGAAAAATCTATTAAAGTCCTCCCTGGCAGATAGAAGAAGAAACAATACAAACACTTCTGTGAGGCAGCTCACAACAGGCAGCCTGCAACACCCAGTCCAGAAAAGTTGTGAGCATTCAGTATTACCTTCCTCCCAAAGGCCAGCAAGGTGCCTTAGCAGGTAACGCAGTGGTCTGAGAGATCTGAAAAGGTTCTGCCCTGAACAGCCTGTTTAGAGGATTGTGTGGAATACAGGAGCAGGACAGACAACGTGCTGGCACTGGCAGTTCACTCACTCTCCTTGTACAAGAGCAAGGGTTTACAATTGGAGCTCACAGACCTTGAGTTCAACACATGCCAAGAGGGTGCTTCCTAAAGATGCACTAGACCTGCAGTACTCTTTGGCAAAGCCTGGGATTGATGTGGGTTCACAGAGAATGGGGAAATTAATGGTACAGAAATCTATGAGGATGGGTTCAAAAACTTGGGGGGGGGGGGGGAGGCAAAAAAAAAAATCACAAGATATTCAGCTGAGGATGCCATGTGGTTGGAAGCTGGAAAAATATCTGGGAAAATATTCACAGAATCATAGAAAGGCTTGGGTTGGAAGGGACCTTAAGGATGATCCAGTTTCAACCCCTCTGTCATGAGCAGAGACACCTTTCACTTAGACCAGGTTGCTCAGAGTGCCACCCAACCTGGCCTTGAACATTTCCAGGGATTGGGCATCCACAGCTTCTCTGAGCAATCTGTTCCAAAACCTCCCTACCCTATGAGTAAATAATTTCTTCCTAATATCTACTAAATCTGAGTTCAAGACTGTTCCCCCCTTGTCCTATCACTATCTGTACATGTAAAAAGTCATTCTCTCATTTTTTTTGGTTAAGTCCTCTTTAGGTACTGGAAAGTGCTGTAAGGTCTCCCTGGAGCCTTCTCCAGGTTGAACAATCGTAGCTCTCTCAGCCTGTCTTCATAGAATACCTGTTCTATCCCTCTGATCATCTTTGTGATTATAAGCTTGTGGAATTCTCACTTGTTTCCTTGGTACCTGCTCATAGTCACTTTTGGAAACAAGGTACTCGTTCAAAAATACTTCTAGTACCCTTATGTCTGCTCCATTACGCTGTTATTCATTCTAGTTGAGTATCTTACAGTTTCCCAATTGGTTCAAAATACTGCAGTCAGTTAAGCTGCATTTCCTTGATATGCTCTGAAAGAAAGAAAACAAAAATCCCCTATGAGGAAGCAGACCTTGACAGTCAGCTGGGATAAAGGCCAGGGTACCTCACCAAGTACTCAGCAGCACTTGCTGTCATTTTTGAAAATGTCTAGGTCAGGTAACACTTTATACAAGTATGTGGGAGTCAGGGGGTGCATTAAGTGTTTTCTGAGACTGATTTATTGTTTTCTGAGACTCTGATTTATTATTTGCTATAAACTAAAACACAAGAATGTCACACCATGTTTTATTTTCAAGAGCTAACAGGGTGCCAGCCATTCTCTGACCTGAAAGGCAATGCAAAGATAGATTCACTCCCTAAAGTGACCGAATTCACTTGACACAGTGGAGACCGTTATGCTGAATTAGTCACAGATTTCCTACAACCGTCTCCCTTAGACACCTCGCCACGAAGAAGCCGCGCTGGGGTTACACCGAAGCACAGGGCTAGGTACGCGCCGCGCCAGCAGCGCCCCTCCCGCAGCGCGGCCGGGGCGGCCCGGCGGGAGGCGGTGGCGCCGGCCCGGCCCCGCCCGCGGGCCCGCCCCTTCCTGCGCCCCGGCCGCGCTGTGCTGCGGCTCCCGCGCGGGCGGCGCGGCTGTCGCGGGTTTGTGCCGCTGCCCGCCCGCCGCCGGGCGACGTGCGGGCCATGCTGCGCGGGGCGGCGGCGGCGGCCCGGCGGTGCGGGCTCGGGCCCGCTGCCGCTGCCGGCCGGGGGCAGGCGGGGGCGCGGCGGGGCTCGGGCTCGGGCGCGGCGCGGCGGCGGCAGTGGGCGCCTCCGGCGGGGCGCGACAGCGGGATCGTGGCTTACAACAGCCGGAGCCAGAGCAAGGAGCCGCTCGTGCTGGCCACGGAAGGACTGGCGACCTGGTAGCGCCTTGCGGCGCGGCGGGCGGGCGTGGGGGTGGCGGGGTGACAGGAGCGGTTTGTGTCCGGAAACAGCTCCTGTGTCCAGTTCTGGGCTCCAGTACACGAAAGATACGGAGCTACTGGAAAAGGTCTAGCGAAGTGTCACAGAGGTGACCAGGGGACCGGAGCACCTCTCTTGCGAGGAGAGACTGGAGGAGCTGGGCCTGTTAAGTCTAGAGGAGAGAAGATTGAGAGGGGATGTCATCAATACGTATAAATACCTCGAAGATGGGTGTCAAGAGGATGGTGCCAGGCTCCTTTTGGCATTGCCTAGTGGCAGGAGTGGCTATAAACTAAAACACAAGAAGTTTCACCTCAGCATGGGAAAGAACTTCTTTATGTTGAGGGTGGCAGAGCACTGGGGAAGGCTGTCTGGGTGGCTCCTGGAGTTTCCTTTTCTGCAGAAATTCAAAACCTACCTGCACACATTCCTGTGTCACCTGCTGTAGGTGATCCTGCCTTGATAGGGGTTTGGACTGGGTGATGTTCCAACCCTGACAAATCTGTGATTCTGTTTGCCTCCCTTCTCTGCAGGTACAGCTGTGGGCCGACAGTGTATGACCATGCACACCTCGGGCATGCCTGGTGAGTCGTGGATTGCAGCATGGGGCCATCCAGGCAGATACACAGTGCTGGACACCCCCGTGCCAGTGGTGCCAGGGGATCCAGGCGGATACATGGTGCTGGACATCCCCAGGCTTGCAGTGTGTGTCCGTGACTGGTGACATGAGGCCCAGCCCTTCACCTCCTGTGCTGTGCAAAGGTCAAAAGTCTGTTTGTTATGTATTTTTTCCTCTTGGGCTGGGGTAGTCTGTAAAGGGGCTGTTGGTTCTGCTGCCTGGCTGAGGCAGAGACAGTGCATGTCTTTGTCTTGGGAAGAAGCATTAGGAATGTGTGCAGTTTGTTTGGGTAGGGTGAGTTGTTACAAATCATATCAGCATAATGTGACCTCTCATGTGGAGGAGTCCTCATCCTGGAGCAGAGCCTCTCAGGTGTGTGAAAAAAGTTTCACCTCAGGTTTAGCTGGGACACTGTGTTGCCACCAAGGAAAAGCCATGCAGGGTTGGCTAATAGAAAGGTACTTTCAAGATTCACAGATGAACACATCGCATCTTAAATCTCAGAAAAGTCAGGTAGCTTAAAGGCCTTTTTGTAGAGTAACATTGCAGTGGCTTACTATGTTTAAAAACAAAAAACTAATCCAGAACATCACAGGTTTTTCTCTGTAGTTCATTAGGATTGTTAGAACAATAAGCTGGTTTCATTATAAGTAACTTCGAAAAAAAACAAACTTTAAATACACCAGAAGAGGCTGCTGGCACTTGTTTCAAAACAGCACACCTGATGAGTAGACTTTGCAGGATGTGTGCTATTCCTGTAAAACTGAGGGGGGTTGCAGCAGCTCAAGCTGCTCTTAAGGTTCTGTCTCTGCATTCTTAAAGAGCAAGTTGTGTAGGGCTCTTTGGAAGAGCAGGGGTTTATCAGATAATTGCCATCTGTGTGAATATCAGATATTGTGCATTTCAGTAACTGAATAATTCCCTTTCAATGTATGGGATTTCACAGCTTCTCATCCTGCCTCAGCTTCATTCAGAAACTTGTGTTGAATCTTGCTCATGTTGAACTGATCCATCACGGTAACTGCACAACTGCTTCCTTGTAAAAAGGAAAAATTAAAATACCAGTTATGTGAAGATACTGCTGTCAGTGCTAATGTTAATGCTACTGTACTGTTTTGTATATGTTGTGGTGTCTTTTTCCTCCTTGCTTTTGTTGAGTCTCAGCAGAAAACTGACCTAGCTTTTTACTGATGACCTAAAAATCAAGAACACGATATCTTGGATATGTTGTTTGTACTTAGTATTTTCAGAGAAACTTCTTTTATTTGAAAGTCATAGTAATTTGTGTATTTAAATCTACAGCTCTTTGAGATACAGGCTCCATTACAGTTTACCTTGAAATAATTATGATTTAAAATCATCACTTGAAAGTAACTGTAAAATAGATGGTTATGAGTTTCTTGTCTTTATCCCTCAGTTGAAGTTCTCTAGTGTGGTAGGGCCTGTCTTCCCTGACATGGTGTAATAGGGAAGGGAATTGCAGAGGTGCTTCTGTCCTAAGGGGTATAGGTGACCTAGAGGTGGAGGATGGAGAATTTCACCCTTTGGTCTTGCAGTTCTCTGTGGCTTTTAAATGTCTGGGTTTTTTTTCAGTGGTTCTCTTGCCCTCAGACTTTATTGATTAAAAGAGGGAGTAGAAAAGCCTTGCTTACACTTGCCTGTTTTTTTAACCCATCTTTTCTTACCCATGTCTAAACTAGCAATTTCAAGCTTTCCCACTGTGGAGGTTTGCCATACATCTGTGTCGCCCGGGTCTGACCTCTTCACGTGCTAATTTAAGAAAGAATGGTTAGTGCTGAATATTGCCTTTGGTGTATCATGCAGATACACCAGGTATAATTCTTTCTTTTAGCACCTCTTTAAGCACCTTCATGTGTTGTTCCTGTTGCCTGACAAGATATCTGCACTGAAGACCTTTTGCTCTCTTTTCTCATCAATTAAACCCTCCAGGGTGGGAGGAGTTGGCTGTTCCTTTCCAGTCTCTCTGGTATTACACATGTTAGTGTTGACATCCTGTTGCTCTGCTGATTTATTCAGGATGGTGGCACACTCGTGGTTCTATTTATTTATTTATTTTTAAAATAGAATCTTTTTTTCCCCAGTAGCTAGGTCCAAACATAGAACAGCTGAACTGTATGCTGCTGTTGGGGGCCAGGAGAGGAACTGGGAAACAGCATAGAGTCAAATGGAGTGGTGGCTGTTGCTACTCTGTTACTCCTGTTAAATACCATCATTTTGTTGTATTCCTGCCACATGTTCTCTTCTCACTAGAATTCCCTTTTTTTCCCCTCTGTCTTACATTTGACTCATGTCAAACACAGCAAATGGAGCAGGTAATAAAGCAGAAATGAATAATAGAAATGAATTTGAAATCCTTGAGGAGAATTTGGAAATAATGGCATTATTTTTCTTCTGTCCTCTTTCCATTCCACAAGGAGTTCTTATTCCTCTAAAAAATTTAACATTCTCTAATACGTTGTGCTTCCAGTGTTAAAAATAGATGCTCTGTCTGCTTACATATGACATCCAACACTCCATTCTATATAGAGAAAAAAGTAAGACAGGCAAATAATACTATTTTTTTACCCAGTTCTGGGTCTGACCTTGATTTTACTGGTTTGACCTGCAGCCTGCTTGACATCCAGGTTCCTGGGTAAGAGTAAAACTAACCATGAGAGATTTCTCTTGCAAGTGCTCTGCCACCCCTGATCTTGACTGTCTGTTTTGGCTGGTTTTTTTTATCAGTCCTGAAGTGGTAAAGACCCTGTGGTATCAGGAAATCTGCTCTTGCTCTTGCAGTTTCTTCCATTAATTCAGTTGGAAGATGAGAGGAGAGGGAACAGTGTGAAATTTGTGCCTGCTCTGGGAACAGTGACTGCAGGGCTGTTAAATCTAATATCAAGCTTTTGATGCTGGCGTTGTTCCTCTGAACAGGATCCAAAGGCCAATTTAATATTCTTACGGAATCATGTCACCACATTAGATCAACCTTACTCCCAGTGAGCTGCTATTCATTAAAAACTATCTCCCTGGCAGCAAGGCTTTCAAAAATTCTTTTTTTTCAGCATGGGCATGGCACAAACAACAACTAAAAGAATTTTTCTTCATCAAGATATTATGCATCCATAAATCAGTACCTTAGTGCTACCTGGCACCTGCAGTGAAGGGTGCAATTCCACTTCTGTAGTTGCTTATACTTCTTTGTTCTGATGGCCATGGGAGTTGCAGTTTGTGTGATACTGTGGGTGAAATGGGAACCTGTAGGTCTGTGAACCTCCTTGCTGGCTTTGGGGAAAACAGAGCCCAGATAGATTGAGGATTCTCATCATCTTGCAGGGCAGACACAGAGTTTTTAGTCACTTTCTAGTATGCCAGCTAGTAATTTGGTTTAACTAAGTCAAAGTGTGTTTTGGGAATTACAAATGGAGGGTTTGTGAACACAAGGAGCTGCAACAACCCTATACAGCTTGTATATCATCAATCTGTCGGCGTTAAATACTCTGCTTTGTGGCAAAAGCCCTGAATAATTTTCAGAATAGCTTTTATTCTCAAGTGTAAATAAAACAGAATAAGCTATAGAGCATCTACTCTTTGCTATCAGAACAGATCTATGGTCACTTATGAATGAAATACTTTATTGGTGGCTGGTATCTGTTACTCAGTGCTAAGAAAAGTTAATTTGAATCCTGCTTTATTTCTCCCTGATCTTCTGCTGCATGACTTTTGAAAACCTGTTAGGGTATACTAAGCCCAAGGGATGTATTTCAAGAACATCTGATCTCTGTGTCTTGTTTTGTCCTATTGGCTTTGAAAGAGTCTCCCAGCTCCTGTAGCTTGTGATACCCTTTGAATAGAGATGCAACAAAATAAAACACTCAGGAAATCTGATGTAATGTGTCACTGATGCCAGAAGAGGGTAGGCCGATTCAAGAGAAATTTGCTTGACTTTTGTGCAGGTAGCAACTGGTTTTGGAAAAACACCTTATGCACTGAAGATCTTTTCATTGCAGGTATAGGGATTAATTAGCTTGTCTCTGTGGCTGTTGGTTATTTTTGTTTAACTTTATTCTTACTACTGAATGTTCAAAAGCTTGTGTTTCTTTCTTTTCAAGCTCCTATGTTAGGTTTGATATAATTCGAAGGATAATGACAAGGTTTTTTGGAATTGAAGTTATCATGGTGATGGGGATCACAGACATAGATGACAAGATAATAAAAAGAGCCAATGAGGTAGGTGTTTGCTGCAGTCTTTGACTAACCTTTTGGTATTTTCTAAGCTACTTATATAGGAAAATTAACCTGTGTTTGGGGTTCTTTTGTTGAGTTATGTTTGTTTTAATTAATAGATAATAAATGTTGAGATTTCTGGTCCCCTCGTGTGGCTGTAATAGGTCTGGGAATGAGGAGGGCTGAGTGTCCAGAGCTGTGTGATGGGGGAGGCAGAGAGTGAGCTACCTTACAGCACCCACAGCTGGGATTCTCCTGCCCTCTCCCCCTGCATGAGAGGCTAGTAGGGAGCAAAAGCCTTGTGTGAATTCTCAGCACAGTGAAATTATCCCAAAACTTAGCAGCCAAAAGGATTCTGAGTGAGTTCTGGAGAAGTGTTGTGTGCCGTGGTCATGAAAGGCAGTACATACAGTACTGCCACGTGGGGCGGAGGGCAGTTCCTGGAAGGAGCCGAGCACCATCTAGCTGCAATGTCAGCACCTTGGAAAGCTTCACCAGGCCTGGCTGTCACCCACAGGAAAGTTAACATTGTGTGTCGGGGTAAATCTTGGTAAGACTGTGGCTGTAAGTGGTTATCAGCTGAATTTTAATCAGATCTTTTTTATGAGATGATCTTGGTGAATAGTTACTGCAATTCTTTTTTTTTTATGGTTTTAAAACCACTTTTTGAACACTTTAGCATAAGAGTGTATTCTGTGTTTTTATTTTGCATTTTAAGTCTTTTTGTTTAATTTGATTGTAGATTCTGTAACTCATGTCTTTGGGATGATAAGTGAATGTGTTGGATTGAATTGCAGTTGCAAGCTATAAGATAGTTTTCTGGAGTCAGATAATTTGACAGCTGTTCCTTTTACTTATCTTTAAGTAAACAGTTACTTTCTCAGTTAAATATAGGCCCCTGCATTCAAATGAACACTAGCACACTACTCATGTAGAAATTGTCTGTTTCCTTAGTCCATTTATTTATTTACTTACTGTTTTCTAAGGCAGTAAACAATTCCAAAACAAATAATCCCCCTCCAAAATTCAGGCATTTTAAATCCATGTTTGCACTTTAAATTTTTTCCTTATTGTCAGAACATCTTAGAGCTTTTGTGTTTGAGGAGGAGGGAAATGGCATGTTCTTGAAAGATGTGTTGCTTCACTGCATTCTTTGGTTCTATTAAGTTATCTTTTCTTGGCTTTTTATTTGGTGAATTTTTGAAATGTTTGGTCAACCATTTTGTTTGGATGGCCAAGGCCTTTACCTCAGTAGCCTGCTTTTGTTGTTGGAACCTGTGCATCTGAAGCATTACAGTGGTAGAATCAACATGTCTAAGCTTGTTCTTCATCCCCTGGTGGGGTTCATCTGGGGAAAACCTGAAAGTTGGCACTAGTTTGTGATGAACATGCTGCATGCCATCAGTGTCCTTTGAGAGAGAGATGAGTCTCTTTGTGTGTTGAACGTCCGTCTGGATGGGAGGAAATTCTCCATCTTCTTTCTGTAGGCACCTTTGTTTCTTGCTTGATCAAGGAAGCAGTTGAGCTGTCCAGGGAGATGAATCCAGTCACTGGCCTGTAGGCAATGCATGTCTTTATTTTTTGGTGCTGTGCATTGTCCTCATTTCATTGCTTCATGAACATCTGGACTGTCTTCACCAGAACCCCTGCTTTGTCCAGGAGTTTGTACAAACAGTGGTACCCACCTGTGCTCTCAAAATCAGTACCCATAAAGATGCTCCAGTAATGAATTGGAAGTGTTGAAATGGGATTTATGTTGTTAATGATTCAGTTACCTGCAAGATGGAGAGACTGACAGTATGTTGTCTTCTCCCTAGTAGTTTATTCTCAGAGAAGATGTAAAAACATGCATTTGAAACACTTTGATACCATGCTGTTGCTTGCTAGGGCAGATTTTGCTGTCATGCATCTTTCAATCCCTGGCCTCTTCCGAATATTTGAGAACAAGTACCTTACCATGTTCAAGTACCTTTCCTTTTGAGTTGCACTTTTGCATCCCCTCTGCAAGAGGAACCTGTTTGTGTCTCATGAATGAGAAATGTAGAGAAGGTGCTTGAGAAATGCCAGACTTGGCAAAGCATGGAAATGGCTTTCAATATTGAGATCTATGAGTACCCATGATCTGCTGAAATAGCTTATTTTTCTTAATCACTGAAAATTAATATCTTGTCTCATTCTGCAAGTCTCTGATCTGTCTTTCTGACACGTAGGTGGTATTGGTGTTTCCTGCCAGTAAGTTGAATGGTTTTTATGTCTTGTGTATGGTAGTATATTTTGTCACTAGAAATGAAAGACCCTCTCAAGAGGAAACTAATAGAGAGAGAAGGAGTTTATTATTTTAGTCTTTGGTTGCTTTCTCCTAAAAGAGATATATCAATATTCTGGAAATTGAGACACATAAATGAAATACTACTTCTAAGTTATTTATAACTTACATCTCCTCCCTGTCAATGTTAGATTAATAAGCCTTTCTGACGCTTTACCTTGAGGGCTCTCTAAGTCTTCCAATTAGCTATTAGCTGTCTGAGAAAAGATTGCCATATTTTATGTCATTACTCTGACTTATGATTTGCTAATCTGTTTCTTTTTTTTTAGATGAATATATCACCAATAGCGCTTGCTCGTATTTATGAAGAAGACTTTAAACAAGATATGGCTGCCTTAAAGGTACAAATACCTGAGATTCTAAATATAAGAGTATTTCTAAGCAATTATTTTGGTAAAGAATCTGGTTTCAAGAGTTTGATCTGAAAAAAATAAATTTGTTGCTTGGAAACTGAGTGCTGATTTACTTTTTCATTCTTCTGGAATAAAAAGCCTTTTGAGTAAGGAAATGTAGGGAGAAGCAATCCTGAGCTTTGGAATGAATAAATGAAACTTTGGAACAGTATTTTTCCATATTCAGTAGATCCTTGATTCACAGATATTGCATATTTACTATAATGCAGAAATAGCCTGATTGAAAGCACAGGGAACACGAAAACTTCTTTCACTGATTTCAGGTGACTTTGCTTCTTGTCTCTCTGTTAGAAGCAGAGAGTGAGCCACTGGGAAAATGAGGATTTTTCTTTGCTACCCCTCAAATATTTTTTCTGTGTGTGTATTATCTTAAATATTGCTTATGGCTTTTTTTATGATACTTGCAACTTTTTTTTTAAAGATAAAATTTAGCTTTTTAGTTTGTTTCTTAGAGTGAAGGAACTTGTTGGCAGTGTGTTAATGCAATGTTACTCTTTCTTTAAGGTCCTTCCTCCTACAGTATATATGAGGGTGACTGACAATATTCCTCAAATAATTTCCTTTATAGAAACAATAATATCCAGTGGACAAGCTTATGCAACCTCGCAAGGTAAGCCTTTGAGCAAGGTAACTCCTTGTTCAGCACATGTATAGGAAGTCACTGCTCTTAGTAATCTTGTTTTGGAATCAAATGAGATACCTTGTGCCAGGCTTTCCTTCTGTTGCTTAACAGGGTGTGAGTGAATTGTTTGTGATGACATGAGTGGGCAGAACAGCTATTACTCAACTTCTAAGTTAAATGTAGCTCATTATTTAATATAATTGTTTACTGTAATAAACTGTTGTCTAAACTCCTTGGGGAAATCTTGGCCTGGTTTCTACAAGAATGTTGGGGGAAACCTCTGAAGAGGAGCTGCGTATCTCCTTTGTGCTGCAGAAGGTGTGTCTGCAAAGCAAAACGTGTGGATTTCTTTTTTAGCAGAGCTGGTGGTTGTAGAAGAATTCAATTGCATTGTAACTGGACTAGGTGTAGCTTGAGCTGCAGCAGGGGCGGGCATTGGTGATTGTGCATGGGTAGGGAAGAGTCTGGGAGATCTCCAGAATTCAGAGTTATGTGCACAGAGCACATAGCACATGAAGAATGAGCATGTGCAGAGAGGTTACTGAAAAGCTGGATAACATGGAAACATCTGCTACTACTTTGGCAGTATTTCTGAACTTCTAAATCAGAATTTCAAATGGGAGTGGAATAGCACTTTGTTTTGCTTTTGGGGAAATGCTATCAAGTTCTCATCAATGTGCCCCATCTTTGCTATGCAACTAAATATTTTTTTTTATATTAGGCAATGTTTATTTTGATGTTAAATCCTGGGGAAGAAGATATGGAGTGTTAACTGCTATTAATCCTGATACCCAAGATGAAGCAGGTAAGTTCGTGGCACGAGCTTATTTGCATTGATGCATTGTTTGAATGCATTTTGCATCTATGTGCAAATTTTCAATCAACAGTCTGAAACAGTTTTCTAACCTATTGTGTATAGCTAACTTCTGGTTAATTAGGATTACAGTGCTTTTGTGTTATTTTTTGAGGCACTCACTCTTGCCAGTGCAGGAGGAAACTTAGTTTTTCTTCCTTTCGTCTTTCCCTCTATACCTTTGTTCTGGTACCATAGAACAATTAGGATTCTTAAGCAATTTTAATTAAATACTTGGCAGTGGTACATAGAAACTTCACAGTGAGGTGGTGTTCTTGCTGTTGCAGTAGGCAGCAGTGAGGTACTCAAGGGAAAACACAAGGAAACCTCACCTACCATGTTCTTCTTGGGGCAGTTGCACTGCTCTGAAGTTAACTGGATGAATTGCGTCCTTCATTACTTGTCACTGAGCTAAGCAGCCTCTGTGTGTGAGGGTGAGAAATCTCTTCATAGGCTGTGCTAGAGCAGGCCTATACCCTGGGTTGTGGGGATTTTGCTCCAGTTCCTGCTTTGCAGGATTGCTGAACCTCTGTGTGGTAAGGATCTGATTGGGTCTCTGCATCAGAGAATTTTATTCAGGTCTCCTGCATCCTTTTGCAAACTAAATTTCAGTACTTCATCATTAAAAAAAAAATCTGTTTGTAATTACTGAAAATGGCTTGGAGGCTGATGATCAGGTGCAGCCAGAACTTCTCACAGCTCTGCTCTGGAGTTGTTTCAGCATTACAGCTTACAGAGGGAATGCGTCTTGTCAACACTTATTTAGAGGTAATTGCTGACTGCAGAGAGCCAGCAGCCTCTTGGGCTGCACAGGGAAGAGCATTGCCAGCAGCTCAGTGGAGGTGATCCTTCTCTGCTCAGTGCTGGTGAGACATGTCTGGAGTGCAGATCTGCTGCTGGGCTCCCCAGAACAGCAGTGGCCAGCAAAGGGCCACAATAATGATGGAGGTACTGGAGCATCTTTTATATGAGGAATAGCAGACAGAGCTTGGACCACTCAGCCTGGAGAAGAGAAGGCTCATGGGAATCCTATCCATGTATACTTGTACTGATGGAGTAGAGCAGATGGAGCCATGCTTTTCTCTGTGGTGATGGGATAAGAGGCACTGATCACAACTTGAAACATGGCAAATTCCATTTTAAGCTAAGAAAAATCCTTTTTACCCTGAGGATGGTTAACACAAACCATGTTGCTCAGAGGGGCTGTGGAGTCTCCATCCTTGCTGGTAGTCAAAGCCTGACTGGACACCATCCTGGGCAGCTTGCTGTAGCTGCATCTGCTCTGAGCAGGGGGTTGGATTAGACTGTCCCCAGATGTGCCTTCCAGCCTCAGCTGTGACTGATTATGTGTTTTACCCTGCTTCCCCTCTAGTCACAACTAAGTAAATTCTTGTTCCTAAAGATTTTGGCACTTGTTTTGCTTACAGCTGAGAAGTTGAAGAGTGCTCTTTTGTAGCAGTATACTCAAAAAAGGGCAAAAGAGGGTTGGAATCAGCAGATACTCAGAATTTGGCAATCTAGTGAAAGAGCCCAGGTGAAGATTCAGTGGATAAAACTAGGATTGTATTTCTGTATCTGTAGTTCTTAGGAATTTTGAGTTGTATGATTCTAAAAGTGAGGTTGTGTATTTCTCAGAAAGAAAGTCCAGAGTCCAGAACAGTGGACTCTGTGGCTCCTGCCAGGGATTGCTGTGTATTTGACTGTAGGTTAGGAGTCAGCAGAGGTGAACAGCCCTGCAGTATTGTGACAAAAAGGACTGCATCCTTGGCAGTGTAGTGAAGGAAAGAACAAATATAGCTGTGAGGAAACCTTTGTAGAGAACTCATTAGTGAAAACCGTACAGAAAAATTGCTACTGTCCAAGAATAGTTTTGATTCTTACCTCTGTGCACTTTGTTTTATAAAGTATAAAACACAAAGTAATTGTGTCCCAGAGAAAAAATTGTAGGGTGTTTGTTTGTTTGTGTGTTCTGGTTTGGTTTTATAACCTTTTCTGCTGTAGTGCAGTCAATTTGTCCTGGGGAAACTGGCTAATATGTAGCTGATATGTAAAGGAATAAAAAATAAGGCAAACCAGGGAAGGATAAAAGGACTGATAGGATGGGATATATTAAGGAATCTTGAATCCATCTTTGTAGTTTGTCAAAATCTATTTCAATATTTCAATTTTCCCCTGTGTGAGGGGGAAGAGAAGGAAGTTGTAGTGAAAAGAATTTGATTGAAGGGGATTAAAATCAGAGTAGTTCACTAAACACACATTTCCTCTTGCTTTCATTTGGTCATTTTTTTTCTTTGAGACATATCCCATTAACAAATCACTTATTCTTGCCAGTTGATTCTGATAAACGACATGGTAAAGATTTTGCCCTGTGGAAGGCTGCCAAGCCTCAAGAGCTATCTTGGAATTCTCCCTGGGGAAAAGGACGACCTGGATGGCACATTGAATGTTCCACAATATCGAGGTCAGATTTCTTGGATTTGGATAAATCTAATGCTATTTTTTGTTTTCAGTCATGGTACAATGGTAGCAGCAGTATTGAAAGTGTTTTCTGATCAGTAGATAGCACTGGTTTTAATGTGACCATTTTGTGCAACTTGGGATGTCACATGTGGCCCAAATAAACTCTACTTCACTTTACTGTCACAGCTGTCTCTATGTTTTGGCACCTTCTCTTGAGTCAGACTTGGTGCTTAAAATACGGCACATGGGATCACACAGTTGATTAGCAATCTTTTAACTTAAATTACCTTGAAATGTTCTGCATATATCATTCATAGCATATGCTTTTAACTTGAGCTGAGTAACCAAAGGTGGTGAAAGTTACAGTACCTCTTTCAATTGATGCCCTTCCACTTCTAGCAGTCTCCATCTCCATCTCCAGGCCTAGTTCAGGATGTAGGTGTCAGGAGGACAAGGTGTGTGCTTACAGCTTGATCTATGAGGTCTCCCTGGCCTTATCTTAACAGCAGCTGTGGATGTGCATGCTAATAATCTAAGTGTTATTCAGCGTTCTTGCTGAGTAGTGTTTTGCTTGCAGTTGGTTTGATGTAATTTGCTCTTAATTTAAAGTTTTATTTTCACCACAGGAGAAAAAGTCTTCTCTCCTGGAAGATTGATAGTATACTTAGTTCTGCATTAGTCTCAGATCTTTTTTTGGAAGCTAATAAGAAATAGTTTAGATCTGACCTTGTTCAGCTTAAATTTTCAGCTAAAGCTGAAAGGAGGTGGAAACAGCTGCTTTAGGCTTTTCTTTCATAGGCTTTTCTGGTGTACTTGGGATTGTTAGTCATTTCCACCTGCTTGTGAAAAGTGTTTATAATGGTGATTTTTTTTGTCTGTAAATAGTTTCAGCATAGTAAGGCAGCTCTTAAAGCAATCAAAGTGCACAAAATCATGCTGTGTTTGATGTACAACCTCTGACAGAAGTGCACAGATAAGAAATGCCAGGTATGAATGACATGGCCTGTCTGCTAATGCAGTGCTGTTTATAGCCTGTATTTCTTTCTGTAAAAATGTATTTTACTGAGGCTGGATGAAGCTCCTGCTATATAAATAAAAGCTGACCCATGGAGAGCATGATTGTAATAATCTTGGACTGTGAAAAATGGAGAGCTTACTCTGGTAAGTGACCTAAAACAATTTGCTATCCCAGTCAGCTGCTGAAGGCCCATTTTTAAGCAATACTTACTTAGCTGTCTGTTTTGCCAAGTATCTCAAAGTGCTTTAACTATGTTAGGTGAATTAATTTTTTTAAGTCTGTGAATGAAGAGTCTCTGGTCTCTAGAGCAGCCCTGGAGGAGGGAATTCCCTGCTTTGAGCCCCTCAGGTCTGATCTTCTCTATGCATTTTTTCTTGTGGTGAGGTGGGTGGCTCCTCCTGGCCCTGTGCATTTGGCAGATCCATCTGTCACCTCTCTCCAGCTCTTACTGGTTTTATTGGAGGAAACATCAAGTGCTCCTCTGCAGGTGGCACAATGGAAGGTGAGGGTCAGTCCTGGGAAGACTTGTACTTTAGCTGGTTTTGAAGCAGCCAGGAGCAGAGAAGGCTGAACTTGGGAGATGGGGACAGCTGCTCTTTCTTCCCTCCTCTCTTCTTGTCTTTTCCTCCCGTGCCCCAACAGCTTCTGCAAAGTATTAATGTTTAGTCAGCTACCAGGAGCACCTTGTTAAGGTGACATATGGGAGGCCTGTGTGTTTGTCTGTAGGCCTTGCATCTTTCCCTGCTTGAGCACTCCTGGTTTCTGAGCAGTTAAGGTTGCCTCACATCCCTATGAGGCTGTAAATGTAAACTTTGTTTAACAGATAGGCAAAATAAAGTTGCTAACCTGCCCAGCTCGACCTGACTGCACACACTATTGTTTGAATTCTTACAGAAAAGGTACGAGATAAGGAAGAGTAATACCAAATTTATAGAAGTAAGTTGTTAGGTTTGCACATAAAGGTGCCTGTCTGATACTGAAACTGTAGCAGAACCAGGAAAGGAGGAATCCTACTTGCTGTTCTTTAAGGTAGAATAAGAATTGCTTCTACTAAAGAGAAGTAATTATGAACAGATCCTGTCCTGTCCATACAAGTTCTGCCGGAGTTTTGGTATCCAAGGTATGTGTAAAGTCTTGTTTTAAAATTGAAGTTACTAAGTTGTACACTTAAATTTATATTGTTTCATCTTATTTTTATCTGCATTTCTTTTTACCAAAAGCTTTAGTGATGTTCTGCTTACTGATCAGGAAAATATTGTTACAGTGCAGTGTTTGGAAAGCAGCTGGACATCCATACCGGTGGAATAGATCTTGCATTTCCTCATCATGAAAATGAAATTGCGCAGTGTGAGGTGTATCATCAGTGTGAGCAATGGGGGAATTACTTTCTGCATTCTGGTAAGTAAAATATTGATCACTTGAGAGGCCTGTACAAATACGATAGTTTGGGTTTTTTAAGTTTGGCATTTCATGCTGTGAGAACACGTTACACTGCCTGGTATTATGCAGAACTACTCCTTGCTCCCTCTGCATAAAAGTGCTTAATTCACTGACGTTTGTGCTTTACAGTGCTTTGAACTACATCACTGATGGCTCTAGTTCTGTAACCATTGATGGAAACCTTGGCATTTGTTCTTCCTGTTGCAGTCGTGGTGGTTCTGGATGGACAGCTGAAGTCAATAGAAAGTCAGATTAAAGTCTGCAGCCTCTCTTTTGCTGATTAGTATTTTGGGCAGGATGTCTCTCTGAACTCTTGAAGCTGCTTCCCTGAGTAGAAGAGCTGCAGAGTTAAGCCTGTAGTGCACTCTGGGAAATACATGCTCTTTCATTTTTATATATTTGTACTGTATGGGATGAATAGGTAATTCTAGTTTCAGTTCCCAGTGTGGAGCCTGTTGTAAATCAATAGCAATTGTCCAGAGGCTGGTGCATCCTCCAGGGTGTGCTTTGTTCCCGAGGCATTGTGGAATCCTCTGCACTTCATTGAGATGCACTGGTTACTGCCAAGGGGAGCCTTCTGTTGACAAACCAGTGAATCTGGCTTTTCAGACTTGGAAATGAATCTGTAGGGGAAATATTTTTTGATACCAGCTAAATAAAGAAGAGTCAATTAAAAAAAAAAGGGAGAACTTAATTCCAAGGGCAATTTTTACACTGAAGTTCTGTAGGAGCTGACAGATTACATTCATTAAGTCAGAAAGTCTTGCTGGAGGATGATGATGTGAATTATTTAGGGCAAATGAATCAGCTTCAGAAACAATTTATTCTGCTAACAGACTTCAGAATTTTAGCAGCTCAGAATTGGAAGAGCAGTTCCCATTAGCGGAAGAAAATCCCTGCACTGGGGATAAATCGTGTAAGGACTTTATTTTTAGACTACTTGTACTCTGGGAAGAGTGCCAAACTGAAGTTATGAAAATCCTTGTATTTTGTGTTCTTGAATGAAATCATTCTAAGTACTGAAACTCTTGGAAAAGGAATACTAATTCAAATTCAGATGTTACTGGTACCTTTTTAGGAAAACACAGTCCAACTGTTTTAAGCTTGTCTGCCTGAAGTTAATTAAGTCAGTATTTAGGCACCTTTGCAAAAGAGAGAAAGTAATCTTACCCAGGCCCTTCCCCTTCTCCCAGGAGAATTTAGTTGTGGGTTTTACTTGAGTCCCAAGCTCTGCAGGTGTCCAGCTCTGTCTCACAGCCTGAATATGCTTATTGAGTGTCCCAGTGCTGAAAGTGGATTCACCTGCTAGCAGACAGGACAGACAGTGAAAGCAAGATTTTTTTTTTTTTTTTAATCATGGGTAGCTGCTATAGCTGGTTCTGCATCCCTGGATTTTTTTGATTCATTCCTACTCTCCATAGACTGTGTTGTGCAAAATTAAATTTTGAGGTGGTCAGGGTAGGACTGGAGGTAGTCTTCTCATGGTGACTTCCTATTTCTTTGAATCATTATCAGAAATAGCTGAGGAGTGAAACTGTGAGCTTTTCAGGTCTATTAGGCCTGAGCTTGTTGCTTTCATATCCAGATGAGTGTAATGGGGATTTTATCTACTTCTAGAAACAAGAGGGTTTGAGGTAGGGCTGCAAAGCAGCTCTGTGCAGCGAGTAGCACAAAATGCAGACAGCTGCTTGGGTTGCTGAGCAAGAAATGCCGCTTCTCTCACCACTCATAAAAGTAGGAGCATGATCATATGTTATCCTTGCTCTCTGAGGCATTGGTAGCACTGGGCTGCCAAATGTGAAAGAATGTAGCACTGGTAGGGTATTACAGAGCAAGAGAAATTTAAAAATCTGCCTCGAAGTATGATTAAGTGCTAGATGCTGCAGGTCACAGAAGTGCCTAAGATCTTATGTTATTTGTGGGTGGTTTTAACTTACAGAATTGCTCTATCATTAGGAGAAGCCTATTAAGGCTTTTAGCAACATTTCTGAAACTATGCTGAGTGGCAGCATGTTTGCCGTCTCTCTGGTGCTGTGAATAATTGGTGTTTTCCATCAGTGGTGCTGATGGATGAGCTCACATGGATGAGTGCTGGAAGCAAGCAACCTCAGGCTATACCTCTCCTGTCTTTCTTCAACAGCACTTTCAGTCCTAAAGCCAAGCTCTACATACTCTCTTAAATGCGGTGTTACTACCTTTTTCCTGTGCTACAGCCCTGCAGAGCAGTGATCTGTGTGCCTATTGCTTGTTCTAGCAGTGCTCAGAGATCACACTTCAAAATAAACTAATTCAAATTAGGTGTTGTAGCTGCATCCCTCCCTTACCCTGCTTTTTCTCAGTCTCACAAGTCTGGAGAAGATGAGAATCTGTAGAAAATTCATTTTGCATTTAAGATATTTTGAACCAGTGCTATAAAACTTTGGGGTATAAAAATAATGTTAACAGCCATCAGCAAGTAATAAATACAGAAGATTGAGTTTTAAAGATTTTTTTAATGCTAGATCACTGGAAAGTATTTCTTAAAATTAAAATACTTCTGAGAAGTCAAGAGTAACAGGTAAGGTACTTGTGAAGACTGAAACTATTTGCTTGCTTGTTTTTATCAGTTTATTGTCAATTCGGAACAGGGAGACTTATGGTGTTGGTTTTTTTTTGTTTTTGTTTTTGTTTTTTTTTTTTTTATGTTTTAAATGCATATATTTTAAGATTTACCCAGTGGAAGTTTTGAGGATGTGCAGGACTGTAGGCAAAGATATTGAAAAATGCTACCAATTACCTTGAAATTTTCAGCATATATCCAGCATAGCATATGCTGCCTCCAACATTTACAGTGTCTGAGTGCAGTCTTTGTCATTTGCTCACTATTCAGAAGCATACTTGTTTATCCTGATTAATTACCTTTTTTTTTTTTACTATAGGGCATTTGCATGTTAAAGGAAGTCAAGAAAAAATGTCAAAGTCATTAAAAAACTACATAACGATTAAGGTAATTTCTTTGTTTTAATTGAAGCAATTTTGTAGGTTTGTAATATGTAAATATTAATCACAGCCTTTTTCTGAGAAAGCTTTGGAGTGTGTGCTTGTGCTGTAGTGTTTTTCTAGTACTGATGTATGTGTTATTTTGGATCTGGAGGTAGGATACCTGCTCAGATTCATGGTTTGCTTATAAAGATGGATCTTGCTGAGCTGAGTGTTTGTAGGAGCAGAGTTTGTGCCCAGTATCAGAATCCTGCACTGTAGATTTGTGGTTGGACTTAACATTCTCAGGGGTCTTTTCCAACCTGAATGATTCTGTTCTGTAGTGATGGGTTCTCATTATTCTTAATAATGCTTTGAAAAAGCTTGGACTTGGAAAAGAATGGATGTTTTTCCTAGTCATTCTTTAGGTGAAATGGGACATAGTGTCAGTGTTTTGTCAGGAAGCTAGTGGGTATCCTGAACCATACTATTGCAGCAGTCTCTCCCATTACCCTTTATTTTTTATAAGGTGACTTTTCTGATGCACAGAAGCTTTGCCTTTTGATACCCACGAGCCACATGATTATGTCATATTTCACTGTGTCCCCAGGTCTTTGATGTGGCCCAGAGGAGGGTTTCTCTGCTGGTTGTGTTGGTACAGCTGTGCATGCTGCTGGGGTGGCTTCCGTGATGGTTGATGCTTACTGCTGGAATAGGATTATTTCCTTCCTTTAGGCAAAGCTTAGGAAGCTGCTTTGGCATATATGTTCCTCATTGCCCTATTGGAAAAATTAGTTAAAATCCCTTTAAAAATATGTTCAATACGAGCTGCTTTATTCTTTAGTCTTCTGATGCTGTCTGGGTACAGTTAAGCCCTGTTTCCCTGGAGCTCAGAATTTTCACAGAAATCTTATGAATCTCAGCAGATGTTGTAGACAGGGTGGAGAAATGACCACAAATGCAGTGCACGGAGTTAAAAGCAGCGTATAAAAATATTCCTCTCCATGTCTCCCATGATGGAACAGCTTGTGTTGAGGAAACAAACATTTCTGGCCTGTCTCTCTTTCCTTGTAGCTCTCTGCTTTTCATGTCTGCATTTATACATGGCTAACAAGTATTAATGCTTCCCGAGAAGTGGTTTTCAGTCCAGTGAAGCATTTTTTTTTCCTGTACAGTTGCCTTGCACCTTGAAAGTTAAGCCCTACATGGAAAGTTTTGTGCCTGTGCTGAAAGAGGGGAGGTCTGTCCAGGATCTTCCCTTGGTTCAGCCATTTGCCACCTGCATCCCAGGCTGTCACCTGGGCATAGCACCCATGCATCCTCTGCATCCAGCTGCCCTGTTTTCCCCCTCCTTGTACTCTACTCCAGTTTTTTTCTTTCCTTTTTTTAAATAGCTATTAATTCTGATCCTGAAAATCAAATGGATTGTGATAAGACAGGGCCAAGAAGCAACCTACTTTCAAAGAGCTATGATTCTTCATCTGTTCTCTGTTTTAAAGGAAATGCTGAGTTGTTTTTTCTAGTTTGGATGGTCCTTTCCCAAATTTGAATGTATTTCCATACTGTACTCATACTGTTCTACCTCTGTATATTAGTGTGGGCATATTGGGTATACTCATTTATATCCAGTTTATTTTAAAGACCCACAACAAACAAACACCCACGAAAACAATCAGTATCACTGTTTCTTGATTGTGATTGCCTCAATTATTTCTATTTTCACTTGAGAGACAGCACATTGCTGATGCTTTTCCACTGTTCAGGCTGGTTTAGTCTTGTAGCAGAAGCCTTATTTTAAAATGTGAAATTTAAACAAATGACACTTTCCCTATTTTCTCACTTGTACTGGCTTCTTACGATTTTTGATTTTTGTGGCACTTCAGTGGTCCTTATCAGTTTGCAAATTAAAAAAAAAACACAACCAGAAGTACAGTAGTCACAATCTACCACAGTGTTCAGCCTTGCTGAGGGCAGGGTTGGAAGTTATTGAATGTTTTATTAGTGTACTTTCCAAACATTTAAATAGCTCATTATACTATTAATATAAATTAATTTTACTAGTAGTAATACTAATAGTTTACTGTTTACTGGACTGAATTATTTGTAAAGCTAGATAAATATTAGAGTGGAGTTTATTAGGCTTCATAATTAACACAGATAACTCTTTTTTATCGCTAGGATATATCTTTGTCCTCTCCCTGTATTTCTTCATATTCTAGTCCTGCAGAAAAAATACACTTACTTTCTTTTTCAATAAATCTTTGTTTGTAAAGTTTGCAAAACTCAGGAGCTTTCCTCTCTTTAAGATTTTATCCCAATCGTAGTCTGATAATTTCATTTTGGTCTTCTTTGGTTTTCTTTTTTTTTTTTCTTTTTTTTTTTTTTTTTTTTTTTTTTTTTTTTTTTTTTTTTTTTTTTTTTTTTTTTTTTTTTTTTTTTTTTTTTTTTNTTTTTTTTTTTTTTTTTTTTTTTTTTTTTTTTTTTTTTTTTTTTTTTTTTTTTTTTTTTGCAATTGTCTTTATACAGTGCATGTTTGATTGTACTTGCAAAGTAATTTTCACTGTCTTAAATTGGACATTGTGTATATATTTATATCTTGTATATATGTACACACATCTATCTTATATGGAATTGAATTTTATTTAGTTTAGGTTTTAAAGCAGTGTTAGAATTTAAAGATTTTATGTCTGTCTTAAATTGCAAAGATGTGTTATTTGTCATGTTAGTCTGAAAAGCAAGGGGGTGGAAGAACTCCCGAAGAAATTGTTATCGTGCTAAAGCTGTCTTTTTGTGCATGGAGTTTAGGATTTCCTGAAGAAATGTTCGTCAGATCAGTTCAGAATGTTTTGTTTGCGTGGCAGATACAGCTCAGGTAAGGACCAGCCCCTTCCCTGCGTGGCTTTCCCACACCTTTCCCAGCCGTGCCGAGGCGCAGCGAGCTCCCCTGCGGGGCCCTGCGGCTCCTGGAATGCAGTGGGTGGGAAGGTTTTGGTGCTGCTCTGTGGCTAGCGTTTAGAAAATTGTCTTTATTGAGCACAGTACTTAACCATTCATTTAAATACTTTCTTGAGCTGCAGTTAGTTGTGACTCTTAGTTAATTACACTTTTAATTAATGAATTACCTCTGTCTCTGATTTGCATCTGTCATAGTTACGATCAGTCATGATCAGCTGTTTTTGGAGATGTATCTAGATGGAGCTGTGGTTTATATTCCTCATCCTATATGATGAGGGCTGGCTAATTATTTTTTATCTCCCTGCTGTGTTACCATTTTTGTCCTGTGGAGTTCCTGAGTGTTCAGGCAGTTCTGTGGTGCAGTGCAGCTCACTTAGACCAGCACATAATAATCTAATGAACATCTTAGCCTGGCAGATCATCTCTCTGCTGGTGGGGAGATTTTGTTAGCTTCCCTGTGTACCCTGTAGTGTTTCCAGCAGGTAGATGCTACTTTGAGCTGGAAGAGATTTTCATGTGTCTGTGTTTCTGCCAGTTTATTGGGACCTGCCAAATGCAGATGGTAGTTCCTTTACACTGCTGGCTTGTTGGCTGTCCTGGCATGGCAAGGGAATGGTGGAGCATGGGGCAGCAGCTACTGTGGTGTTCCAGGGGGCCTCTGTCTGCCTTGGGTAAAGCACCTGTAGCAGTGTGACTGCGAGAGCTGGCGTGGCCAGGGCTCTGGGGCACTGCTCGTGCCTGTCAGTGTGCAGTGTGCTGCCGGTCTCTATAGTCGTGCAGTCATTGGACTGACGTCTTTCTGCTTGTTCATACTGCTAACTGCCTTGCAGGAACCACCCATGTGATCTTCCTGGTGGATCCTCTCTCTCCTAGGACAGTTGAAGGCATCAGGAATTGAGTAGATCCTTGCAATATTTCAAAGCAGGGGGTAGTAAAGAGAGAGGTGGCTATTAACTTCCCTGTCACTGTCATAGAAAGAGAGGGGTGCATCCAGTTGGAAGGTCTGCTGCAGAGCAAACAGCATCCTGTTTGGGGCAGGCAGTGGATTGGTGGTATGCTTGGCTGTTTTGGGGTGATGCTGCAGGGTAGTGGCACACTTGGCTGATGGCTTCTTTTAGGAGATGAAATACCTTGTGTACACTTAGGTGGCTCCCTGGCTGGGGGCACCTGGGAGTTGTGAACAAATGTGTGTTTAAAACAAAAGGAAATACTAACTCCTGCTACGACTATCATATATATATGTTTGTCATGTAAGCAAGAGCTAAATGTCTGGTAGCTTCTAACCTTGCCTCAGGACGAGGAATGGCGCTGGAGCCCTGCAGTGGAGAGCTGCCTGCAGGCTTTCTTCACTCCCTGTCAGCTGGCTGCATTTGAACCTGTGTTTTTTGCATTACTTCTAGGATAAACACCCCCCTGAGGTAAAAAAAAAGAGTGCTACCTGTGTGAATGTGGGTGGCTTTGATGAAAGGATAGGCTGGTGTCATATCAGAGTATAAGCCAGTTGGCAGGTAAGGGTTACTCAGAAATCTGCACTTCCCAGCTCCACCTTACAAGGCCATGTGCATGATTAGCTTCCCAATAAAGAGCCAGAATTGGTTTCTGCTGAGCCAAGTATTTACTGTGCTGCCTGTCAGCTTGTGTCCCTGCTATCAGTATTCACTTTGGCCTAAACATAAGTTTACTGCACTCCTTCTCATCTTGCTGTCTGCTCATATTTTTATTAGAAGTGAGATCCCAAGTACCTTCTTGTTTCTTAAAAGGTATAGCCTAGACGCATTGTTGGTGATTCCTGCCATTCCTACCTGCCAAAGAAAGCCTTGTGTAAAATCCAGGTTTGGGGGTCAGCTAGTACCACAAATGTTGGATTGAATCTGTAAAAAAGATCTTTGTAGGCATGTGGATGAGGGCAGCTTCTGACAGTTGGGAATGGCTCATGCTTGATACTGTGGTTTCTTTGGCTTGGAATGGGCCTTTCTTGTTGTCTGGGCTACCCCCTGTCTTTGTGTGTGCTAGCAGGCACAATAGAGACTAATGTGACTCGAGACTGTCCCAGCCTTGGAAGGGCAAGGGTTGAAAGGGATATATGCAGGGAGGTACATGTGTTTCATGGGAGTGGAGTCCCTTCCTGTGATGACCATTGTCAGAGGGAGGATAAAGCTGCATGCCTTGCTTGTGGGGAAGAGAAGAAAAGGCTTTGATCATCCTTCCACAATGTGTTTCTGCATGTGGTTCCTCTACTTCATCACCCTCTCTGCCTGCTTGGGGTGGTGGAGCAGAGCTGCTTGGGGTGCAGCTGAGCTCTGGGGGCAGTGGTGATTGGGCTGTTGGTGGCAAAGGAGGGAAGGAGTGGGGAGCACAGTGAAGGTTTATAGGGGCCAGGCTTGCCTGTGCTGTGTTGTGGGTTTGCAGTGCCTGCAGGCAGTGGTTTAGGAGTATGCCCTGAACTGGGGATGAAGAATGGCTTGAACCAAGGTAGGTTTTGCCAATATAAACTTTTATCAAGTATTCCTTGCAGAATTCTTGTAACCAGGTTAATCAATTGAGTAATCCTAGTGTATATAAATGATCACTCTCAGTGTCTCACTATGTTTTAGAGGTCTGTACATTGGTCTTTTTGAAAACTGTGTAAAGCTTGATTTAATGAGGCAGTAATGCAGATTTTTAATTATACACAAGTGAAACAAAATCTGACAAATACAGGTCCAGACTTACACCTTTGTTGCACTGGGGTAAATCCTGTGTTCAAACAGGCTTCCTTGGGATTTATGCTAATGGAAATGAGATTGGGTCTCACTTCTGGCTGCTTTTTCCCTCTTACATCTGTCCTCTTGGTAAAACTGTATGCTCTAAAGAGTCTGTCTGGGCAGCATTGGGTAATTGTGAAAAGCAGTTGGATGCACCATAGGCAGGATCAGGGGTGAGATTTCTGTGGAAGCTATGGGTGATGCTCAGTGCTGATGATATTAGGAATATGCTGGCAGCTGTAGTTTGGATGTACCTTATTGCTGAGGTCAGGTATACAGCAGTGAAGCAATACTGCACTGGCTGTGGATGGCTCTGGTGTGATACTGGATGAAGGAATGCATTCAAACTTAGGCCTGTCCTAGGTGGACACAACTTCCACTGAGGTCAGGTGAGCTCTTTTATGTTGGGTCCAAAAGCTTTTCTACAGAAAATTGCACATTCCTGTACAAATGAAAAATAAAGCCTCTCACTGATGGCAATTCCCAGTAAAAGTGACAGTGAGTTTGTCTGGCACCTGCACTTTGCAGGGTGCAGGCAAAGTGAGAGGAGCCTGCTGAACTCCTGCCAGGAGGAGTGGACTCTGGAAGCTCGCAAAGTGGAATTGCCTTCCAAAAGTAGTGTTTCCCTGAATGCATGGAGATATCTGTGTGCATGGATGCCTTATTAGTGGTAGAGATAGTGTTACTGTGGCTGTTGGAAGAGAAACTCTGTAGGGTTCCTGTACAGCACATCTCATAGTAAAGTGGAGCTCAGCTGTGGATGCAAGGAATCATTTACCTTGAGGTTTTATCTTTCTTTCCAGTGGCCATAAGAGGCTTTGATATGTGTGAGTGTGATGAATCCTACTCTAGACATGCCCTTATGTGTTTAAGCATTTTGTATTTTTTCTAAAAATAGATTAGAAGTATATTAAATCCTAATGCTTTGGATTGATAACTTTGCAGAGAGATTCAGTAATGGAAAAAAATTGAAGTTAAATAGTGATTGCTTCAGTAAACTTCTGGATTCAACTTTTTGAATCAGTTTGATAAGTGCTCCATTAGGTCATACTTCATCATATATAGTGATTGTCTTTTAGATTGATTTAATCCACTTGGTGTTCATGAAGAATGGAGCTTTTAATTAAATGTGTGATTAATTGTAAGAAGTTTGCTGTACAAATAATGAAAACTTCTCCAATGAAAACTTCTCCTTTGCCTCCAAATACTGTTCCTACGTATGACAGACAGCATTCTCTCCATCCTAATGCCTTGATTTCTTTTTTCTTAGCAGTAGAATATAGTGAGGAGAGCATGGAAGATGCAAAGAACCGTCTTCAGGCAATCTCCTCATTTATTAGAGATGCAAATGCTTATATAAAAGGACAGCTGGTGTGTGACCCTGTTAGAGAAGACATATTGTGGGAAAGGTAAGTGCACTTCCTGTATCTTAAAAGATTGTGATTATGTGAGCAGTAGTTCGCTGACAGACTCGGAGGTTCTGTTTAAGAAGCAGGACAAGGACTAAGCAGCAGTCCTCCCTCCAAGCCCAGAAACCAAGGGCAGTTTTTTTTTTTTTTAAATCTCTTTCTAGCCAGCTGTTTTTGCTCTTAGTTTGCTATACTCAGTTCATTGTGTTTTTAAGATCTGAGTTACTTATCTGGTGTGCCTGTCCTTACACAGGTGTCTTTGCCTCTCGTGAGCAGTGCAGGAGGCAAAGCTGTGGCAGTTGTGAGGCTCCCCAGTTCGTAAGCAGGGCTGGGCAGTAGTGACTGGAGAAGAAAGAGGATGGCTGCAGAGTGACACACCTTGGGGGTGTGAATTTGTAATCAGGCTGGCTGGCACTGTGGTGTGCAGCAGAGGAGAGAAGGGGCTACTGAGAGATTGGCCATGGGCAGGCATGTCACAGGGAAGGAAGCAATTAAAATTGTTGTGACCCTGACAGTGGTGAGGAGAATTCTTTGTAGTCCATTATGAAAACAAGATTATCTTCAGGACTGAGGTGCGCTGTGTGTTGGGTGCAAAGCTGGGAGCAGGAGCACAGAGTCAGGGTAGGAAGGGCATTGAGTGCCCTGAAGCAAGGTTAGCTCTGGGCTGTGGAATCAGGGGGGAGACTGTCTGTGCTGTAGAGGTGAGAGGCAGCTTCCTTGTGGCTCAGGTACCTCACTGTTGGGGATGCTTGTGGCTGCACTGACTGAGGGTTGCAAGGGGCAGTGGAGTATGTTACAGGAAAGTGAGTTGCATTAACTAGCTGTGGTATTTGGCATAAGCAAATCCTTCAGCAGGAGGCTGCAGGAGATCTGTTGGTGCAAGATAAAGCTGAGAGGTGTGAGGAAGTTGAAATGGATAATCAGTAGGGGATCTATGGGAGGGCACAACTTGTGTATTCCTTGGTGTAAAAACAACCAAAATGAGGCAAAGCTCTTAATTAGTGAAGTGTTAGATACTTAGTGGAGGGGGGTAAGCTTGCAGGGAAAATGTTGGAAGGAACTAATTAGAACAGCAGCCATCCAGTATCTGAAGGGAAGTAGGCATTCCAGGCAAAAACATACAGAAACAGGTAAAATAAAGCTCAGGAGAGCACGAGAGATGCTAGGACAGCTTGAGGTTCCCCTGCTCCTTGGACTTTTTTGGGAAATGGCATCCTTGGCCCAGCACTGTCAAGCTCTGGTTGGCCTGGCTGTGTATGGGAGTGTGCTGCCAGCAGCTGTTTGTAGCTCCCCATTTATCCGTGCTGCTCTCCTCATCTGCCTCTCCAAGTGGCTGCAGCTGGTGGTGCTGGTTCTGTGGTGATCAGTGCTGGTTGCCCGCTGGCTTTTGGCACTGTTACACAAATGGTCCCACTGGACCTTTCCATCTGGGCCATGGTGAGTGGAATCCCTTGGGATTGGGCTCTCCTGGGAAATGAGGAGGCAGTGCTTTGTTCTGAGTCAGATCCTGACAACAGGATTCTTGGCCAGCCCCAGGACAGCTTTCTTGCCAGGCACTGGAGAGCTGCCTGTGATGTGTGTTTGGAAGAGAAACATGCTGTTAGCATGATTAATGGACTGCTGGAAAAAAAAACAGAACTCAGTAAGATCTTTGATATGCTTAATATCAGTCTCATTTTCCATCTGTTTTTGAATGATTTAAGGCAAACTTTGCTCTGTTGTTGCTGGCTCCTCTGATTAGCCATGTATATTTATTGAATGGATGTAACACTTAGGATTTTGACATGCATGAAATTTTTCCCTTCACAGCAGAAAGATGTATTCTCCCTGATGAGTGCAGCACTGCCCATCACAGGACAGCTGAGAGGGAGATGGCAGTGTCCTTTCAATGACTCCCTCTGGCTGAATGGATGAATTCAGCATACTGCTGGCATCTTGTTTGTCTTATCTTAAATGTTACCTTTTCTTTTTGAAGGCTAGCCAACACAAAAGCAACCGTGAAGGCTGCGTTTGCAGATGACTTTGACACCTCCAGGGCTGTTGCAGCAATTATGGACCTCATTCACCATGGCAACAGACAGCTTAAGGCTGTTACTAAGGTAACCCATTAGGATACAGAGATCAGAAAATGACAGCTGTCCACTGTCCTACTGCTTAATACAGACAGATTAGTTTATTGTTCACATAAGAAACTAGCAGAAACAAAGCTCCATAAATTTTTGACCTTAATGGAGCCCATTTGTCCTGACCCTATCACAGGAATTGTGCATGGCTATTGTTTTGTTCTCTGTTGTGTCCAGAGGATGTTTCTTTCATGCTGCCCTATGTTATTTATACCTAGGGCTTCTGAAAGGCCTGAAGCTGTTGTGATATGCTGCTAATTTTAGTGCTGGTTCTGTGTTTTTACCCTGCTTCTTTGCTTAATATCCATGCACAGAAATTAGGCTAAACTGGGAAGTGCTGGGGTGTGGTTGCTGCAGGGGCTTTGGCTGGCAGCCCCAGGTGCACTGGACAGTCTTGGTGGCGAGTTCAGCGTTGGCACTGAGTGGCACAGACTGTAACTGGCATCAGCATGAGTCTGTCTTCAGATGGCTTTTGGCAAATTAAGACCCTGTTAAGATCTCTTATGCTGACACAAAGAATCTGGTTAAGGACAAGACTTGAGCAATAAACACTGTCTGAAGCACTTCTGGGTTTTCCATTTAGCAACAGCTCCCTTTGTCACTCAAGGTGAGCACCTCACCCTTGTTGCTGTGCTCCTTGAGTACTGGTGTCATCATGTTTACTATGTTTGTGTAGTAAAATAAATGTTGTGTACATGGTAATAACCAGTTTTAAGAGAGAATTAGCCTGTTGGTTTAGAAATCCTGCCTCACTCTGGTCCTGTTTTGGCATTGGCTTTCAATTTTGCCCTTACCAGTACCTTTACAAGGTAAATGAGCAAATCTTTACAGATTAGCCTTAGCCTTATCTTTACAAATTATCTTTACAAGCTGAGTGAATCCTTGACCTGAAACACTTTGCAGCAGGGATCCGTAATGGCATTGCCCCTCCTAGATACAACTACAAATTTTGTCAGTCACTGCTTGTTCCCTCTGAATTCCTCCTGTCAGTCATTTTGTTGAGAATGGGATGGGATATTTGTGGGGCAGCTGACTCGGATTTCTGGTTGAGATGGAGCTTTTCTGGGTACAGCCTAGCTGTCTGGAGTTTTCTCTCTTTATTATGAGTGTAGTTTTTCTCTTTAAGAACTGTGAGTAAATCCACAACTACTTACTCCTCTCTTTAGCCTTCCTGCTAAGCATTTCTCACCTTAGATGGCATATTCCTATTCCTTTCTCCCAGTGGCTTGCTCCTACTCCTCCCAGTTCAGATCTTCCTATACATTTTAGACTATAGCTTATCCCAGGCCCTAGTGAAGATGTCAGATAAAATCCAGTATCAGCTGCTGATTTGCTTGTGCATGTCATCACTCATTTTTTAGGCAAGGGTTAGTCCCTTAAATTGCTCCTCAGTCTGTCATTTAATCCTTATTTTATTGCTGCTGCTGATTGCTGGTGCTACCAAGGCATGAAAAAATGCCATACACTATCTCAAAGCGGTCTCCACATGGAGCAAATCAATAAGATACTCAAAATAATTTGTTTTATATTATAGGTGCCCATGAATGTGGGATTTTGTTCTTTTTGTTTGCATACACGCAGCCCTTTCAGGCCCAGAAGTGCTATTTTTAGTTCTGATTTGCTGCACACATGCAATGTATGGCAGCTTCTCGTATCTCCTCTTGCTGCACAGGCTGGTGATAAGCTCTTTCCTTCCCTTGTTTACTTAAATCCCTTCCCTTTGTGCTGTGAGGTGCTTTTGTATCTCTGTAAGATTGTTTGTCTGGGCAGGTGTTCCTGATGGAGGTAGATCTTTATAATTAGTAGTAGTTTTCCCTTGTGGACTAGGCTGCAAAGAGATGCAGGGTTCTGTAATATGTATTGACTGGACAATCTCTTTTGAGTGTTTTCTGAACAGGATGCTGGATCTCCTAGAAGCTCTGTTGTGTATGGAAGCATTGTTTCCTATATTGAAGGCTTTTTCAATGCCCTTGGGATGTCCTTTGGAGAAAGACAGGTAATGAAATATTTCTTCTATGTGTTTGAGGACATGGTAGCAGCCCCAGTGTTATGTTTCATAGAGTGCTTTCTGAAAGCATCAGATGTAACAAAGTTATTTATGGTTTTAGTAAACCTTTCTGCACTATTTGCAGTTTCTCCTGTGATGTTTTAGGAGAGTGTATGAACAGTGGAACAAAGTGTGGGCTTTTTAGTTCTTGGAGGTACTCCCATGTGACTTCTGCACCAATTTTGCTGTGGAAATGAAAGACTAAGGAATGAAACAAGAAACAGTTAGCATTGGAGGCCTTTAAATTTCCTGTTATATGTCTGGCTTTCCCCAGCTTTTCCTCTTCTTCCTGATGGTTGCATCCAGGCTGGCTTTGATATTGGTGTGAACATTGCAGTTGTGAGGGGTCCCACTCCTCTGCAGAAAGCCAGGGGAAGGGGCTGCTCTGCCTTGAGCCATGGGGGGTATTGGGGAGGGGGGAACAGTGAGCCTACATAACTAGTTCTTGGAAAGATAGGAATGGGGAGAGAAAAAAAAGGAGAGAAAAGCTCAAAGCAAAGTGCTGAATGGGAAAGAGAGTCATCAATATGAAGGTGATATCCCAATGTATGGAAGCATTTAAAATCACACAAGGTGTTGGAGAATAGCAGGCTGTTCATTGCTCCTTTCCTGCTTAAATATGGAGCTGAATGCAAAGTAGTGGAAACTTTCTGTAGAGAAACTTAGAGAAACTGTAGAGAAACTTGTTCTGCAAAACAGAACAGTTATTTTGGGGAGGGGGAGAAGAGAGTAAGAAAATGTAACATTATTCATCCTTTGAAAATCAGACAGTATAGTGGTAAATGCATTTATTTAGTTTGCCTCCATAGATTTTCTCACAAAATTTCTTTCAAAACAGTGTCTGGATGTAATTTGGCTGTGTGTTACTCCTCACAGCCTGTAGTTTGCATGTTAATTTTTAGTGGCATACGAAACACTTATTTTTTTTGTTAGCTGGATGGCAAAGTCACTCCTCCAGATTCTGGGCTGTCTGTATGCAGGTGTCTGCTGTGCCTATATTTTTTGCTGAAACAAGTATCTGAATGCTTTTCTTTGTTTTAGGCTGTGCTAGTCCCTTTCTCTGTGTGGCAGGAGGATCAGCAGAAGATGCTGGTCTGAGATAAGCAGGAAGAAAGGAGCAGCTTATCAGACTCCTCTCTGTTCCTCTGCTCTTTCATCTTTCAGTAAAAAAATCTGTCAAAATCTTCATCAGAAAGGTCCATGGGCTACCACAATTTAGTAAATAAAATAGTGTAGGGATTGTTCCCTGACTCTTGAGACCAGCCAGAACATCCTGGACACTGCTGTGCTGACAGTGCAGAGGATACAGGCAGCAGTGGTTGGGCCTCCTCATTTGGATATTTGCAAGTAGTCTGTGGCTCTGTCTTGCTCCTAGGCTGGGATTCATCTCAGCTGATCAGCCTAATGTAGCTGCCTGTGCTTCTGAAGTCATCAGTGGGGATGCTAAGGAATGTCTCATCTCAGTCTAGTGGGTGTATTGCAATGAGAGCCTGTCTCTCTCTGCATTGGCAAGAGATCTTATCCACAGGGGGATAAGATGAATCCATCTGGAAAGGTGGTGAGTGAAAACCATTGTGCCTGTTTTAGAGCTGGGAAGCTTTTGCTCTCCCAAAGAGTGCAGAGTGTTGACTGTACTGCAGGTGCATCTGTGGAGTAAGCAAGGGCCAGAAATTTGAGATCAGTCCCGAGAGGCTGTTTTATGTGGCAGACTGGTTCATCTCCTAAAGCTGCTCCTCCTTTTGAAGGCTTTCACTCCAGTAGGTGCCTGGTTTGAACTCTTTCAGTTTGATGTTTGTTAGAGGCATGTTTTTTGTTCCCATCGTCATGGCTTTCCCTTCTGTATTTCAGTATTTATCCTGCCAGAGGTTACTATGGAGCACTTAGATTTATTACCTTTTTCAATCTCATAAACATTTTTTTTAGTGTGACTACATGTTTTGAAAGCTTGGGGAATTCACTGTATTTCACACTCTTATCTTCGATAGCTTCCCTGTCACCTCCTCCTCCTGCTCCTTTTTGTCTATGACCTCTGAAGCTCTGCTCCCTTTGGTTTCCATCCTGCTGTTTGGTGACTAAGCCCAGTCCCTTCTGGCTTTAATTACTCAGCTGCTCTTCTGCTCCCAGATGATGTTGCTGCCAGGAGCTTTGCCTGTGGCCTTGGTGTGCTTTGTGCTCTCGCTCTCGTGTCCTAGTGATAAAACACCGCCGTGGGGTTCTCTTGTTCACTGGAGATTTTTCCTTTTCCTCCCCCTCGGGAGTTTGCCTATAATGAGAAACAGGGATGGTGTCTCTGTCAAGAGTGAGACCAAGAGCCTGGCTGTGCTAGTGCCGAGGAGTGGCCTTCCTCTTCAGCTGACTCCCAAGCTCCTGTCCTGGCAGCTGTTGGAGCAGGACTCTGTAGGAGCAGTGAGTCTGTTCCTTTCCTGAGGCATTGACCAGCAAGACTCCTGCCAAGCCAGAGGAGGCCAAGGCAGCTTGGAAGTGGCTGAAGGGAGGAAGGGGCTCGACTGCAGCCAGGAAATATCCACACCTTGTGTGCAGTAGCTGCTGCTTCTGTCAGGTTTTTTTGAGTGGCTGAAACTTTGGGTAAGGTGGATCAAATGAAACTTTTGTGAATTTGGGAAGGGTTTTTGTAGATGAAGGAGAAAGGATAGGATGGACTGGAGACTTAAAGCCAAAATACTTACTTTTCCTAGTTTGTGTTTCCTGAAGGAGGCCTGGAACTCAAAGACAGAGTAAGGGGCTGATGTATTCTCTGTCTTTGGACTTCTACAGCCAAGGAGCTGTCTGAGCTGGTGGCTAGGCTTCCCTTGCTGTGTTGGATTCCTGTTACCAAATCTTTCTGACATTAACTTGTCAGATCCCTTTTTAAGCTATGCATGCTTCTGGCATCTCCGAGGTTACCTGTGGTGATGAGTTCCCCACTTGGGTTATGCAGTGTGTTGTGTTCATGTGAGAGCACTCTGCTCCAAGGTAAATGCTTTCTTGTGCAGGAATATGCCGAATTGCTTCCAAGTGTGACTTCACCGTAACTTTTTGTCCAGCATTAGTGAGATGGTAACATTTTAATCCTACCGATATATGGAAGATGCACGAGCAGGAGAGGTGATAAAGCCTCACATTGCTATGGAGATGGGGTTGATTTTTTTAGTTTGGTTTCTAGGTGGCTCTGGGAGGAGACAAGTCTGCAGTGCTCTCCAGTGTCATTGAAGAGCTGGTGAGGTTCCGCTCGAAGGTGCGGCATTACGCGCTGGCTCTGCCGGGAACAGCAGATGCTGCGCCACTGGAGGGTGCGGCGGGAGCCGAGGAACCCACACAGGAGCAGAAGGAAAAGAGGAAGCAGTTAATGCGGGAGAGAAAGCCCCTCTTGGAGGCTTGTGACAGTCTGCGTGGAGACCTTGCTGCCTTTGGAATCCACATAAAGGTAGAAGACAGTGACCCTCTTTTTAGACTCAGTCGCTTTTTAAGACAACACATATTTTTGTCCTTCATTCCCTTTCAGCAGCTTGTGGTGTGGTGCCCTGCACCCTGTGTGACTGCAGTAGCAGGAGGTGGAAGTCAAGCCCTTGTCTGTCTATACTGCTGCCTTCTCTTCTGCTCCCCCTCGGCCTTGTGCTTCCATGCAAACCACTGAAAATCTCATAATAGTCAGAAATCCCTAAGTTGCCCAAGTTCAATCCAGAAGGAATGGTGTGAGTAATGTGTGCAGCTTTAAAAAATATTGCAAAGGAACTGGAAAGTAAACCGAGATGATGTGTGAAAATAGTGCCTTCTTTCTACCTACCCCACACTCTCCACCAAAAATAAGTCTTTATGAGAAAGCCGCTTTCATCTTCAGCGGCTTCATTCCCAAATTTTCCTGAGCCACAGGGACTTTGCCCAATTCCTGTACCACTCCTCTCTATCCTGCTTTCTACTTTTAGCCTACACTGAATGTCAGTGTTCTTTTCCATTATCTCAGTGGCATCTCTGGCTTGAGAGAAGACCCTCCATGGCATTACTGCCTTCTCCTGGTTCCAAGGACCTGCATTACATCTTTAAAGTGCTGCTTCTTCCAGTTCCTCTTGGTCATTGCCCTTCTTGCCTCTGTTAAGCGAGGGTCAGTGTTCCTCCTTGACAGCAGAATAATCCTCCACATTCTTTCCCTCCATCCAGTTTATACTGTTCATTTTTCCTTTCCTTGGGAACTGATCCTGGCAAGTCTGGTTCCATAGTTTTACCGGTGGGAGGATGGAAAGCACAATGACATCAGGGAGTGAGGGCACACATCCGCTCCAGCTGCCGAGCGCGAGGGCTGTCACTTGTCAGTGCCCTGTTAGAGTGGAGTGTGGGCAGCTCTCCCCTCTCTTGGAAGACAGTGAGTGTGCTGGCCAAAACCGGGGTGAGCGCCATGGCCTGGTGGTGCTGGTGGTGGTGAGCTGCAGCTGTGAAAGGAAGGGGAAGCTGGAACATCTGCTTCCTTTAACTTGTTTGTAAATCTCCACTACACTCACCTGTCAAGCAAGTTTGCAACCAAACTATGTGCTGAGACAAAGTCTTGGAGAAGCAGCCTGCCTCTTTGTCTACTGGAAAAATGCTGCAGCTCCACCTCTATCCTTTTGGAGATCTGTTTTGGTTTGTTTTTTATGGGGATTTACATTTGAAAACCCCACAAATTAGTCTGAGCCAGGATTCAAACCATTCCATTTATTTAAAAAAAATTTTAATAACCCAAAGCTCAGCATAATCTGCCCCAGATTAGATTGCTCCAGAAGACAAAGCACAAATGGGCTTAGAGCACACAGAGCAAGCATCTGAAGCTGAACTCCTGCTTTTTTTGCTGATACTGTGGAAGTATCCAAAGGTGTGAAGTTAGCTTACACCTTGCTTTTGCAGATCCCAGAGAACTGCAAGCTGAGCGATGCAGCTCTGCAATTCCTCACAAAGGCTCACCAAAGCACATGTGCAACAAGACACAACCTACACAAAGCAGGGCTCTCCCCACCCTCTTGCTCATCATGAGTCTGCCTGGCTGGGTCAGCTGATGCTAGAAATGCCTTGGTAAAACAGCACCTAACAGGGGTCCTGCTTGCCTAATAAGTGCTTGAGGAAGTTACGTGAATTTCTCATTTCTGCCCAGCCCCTCATTTCCACAAAACATTTGAGCCTCACACTGTGCATGCATTAATGCCAAAGGGCTGCCCTCTGTCACGTGAGGCTCAAGCAAGCCAGCAACTTCTGAAGTCCACGTGCAGGTGGAAAAGAAGCGGAACAGATGAAGCAGACAAGCCTCAACTCCATCCAGTGTGGACTGGGAACTCCCTGGTTTGAGGCAGGGCAGGAAGGGGGTGGCTTGAACAGAAGTTTAACTTTCTTAAGAATCAGCTTTGTAGGAAGGGTGGTTTCTCCTTCAGGTTCTAGCTTGTGATTTCCCTACTCTGGTTTCTTCTGTCAGGTTGCTCATTGCAAAAGATGTTGGCTGAAGTTTACGTATCTTGTAACAGACTGATGAAAAAATATCCATGTGTATTTTCTTGTCATTGTGGCATACTTGGAAGCTATGCTTCCAAGTGAGATGTAGTAATTGGTTATTTAGGCATCAAAAAATTTTCATGTAAAAAAGATTCAACAATTCCAGCTGCTCTTATGAGTCAGTGCTCATGGAACTTTGTCGTGTGTCAATGTTTAGATTTACTTTTATTTTCAACCATTGCAATCAAACAGCTGGTTCTAAATAGAATGTTCAGTTTAGCTGTAATATTGCCTTTCAAAAATATGACAGTATCACGTTACAGATACTAAAATCAACAGGCTTCTGTCCTGAGTTCAGATCAAACATGTTCAGCAGTATATTTATATGTATTGAGATTTTTTTCAGGAACATGAGCCATTGAGACTTGAAAATACAATTGCATGAGTTGAGTGAAGCTACTCATGTGAGAGGCTGCACCCCCCTGCAGCATTCCATACTGAAGAGGTGACATTTCTACTCTCTATTTCTTCCCTCTGAGCTAGGAAAAAATGTCTAGTTTTGTTTTACAACTCTAAGCATTATTACTAGCAGTGGCATTCCTGTGAGATTTTATTGCTACTTCTTTTGCTCAATTGGATGAATAGCTTTGCTGAGTGAATCTTGGTTAAAAAACCTGTGATCCAGTTAGGCAGGACTGACCTGCTTACTTTCTCTCACAGGACAGAGCTGCTGTTTCAACCTGGGAAATTGTGGAAGGAGGGCAAACAGAGAAGCAGACTGAGAAAAAAATCTGATCCTTCATCCTTGGACTTGTTTTTTATTTCAGCTACTTCAGCAACTGTTGTAAATACTAATTCTTTCAAAATAAAATCTGTTGAACAGAATGGCTAAAAATGATAGCATGTAATTTGAGCAAAACTGTTGGCACTAGTACTTGGTAAATAAATACAGGCCTTGCAGCACAGGTGGTGGAAACATCCCGAATTCAAGGCAGCAGAGGAGCAGCTGCACTGATTTAACACCATGAGGCATCGGTCTGTTCTACTGCAGGGACTGCCCCAGCCCAAAAGCTCTGTCATCTGCCTTACCCCGTGTTGCTGACCTGACACAGAGTTTAAACATAGTGAAGGCAGAGGCAAGAACTTAGGCCTCTGTTTAAGGTGAAAACAGTTTTGTCTGTTGGGCTGACAATTCTGTTCCTCTCAGACATAGGAATGGGGGATACTTTTAACCTTGAAGTATTTCCTTATTGCAGTGCTGCTGCTTTGATCCTGTGAAACCTTTAATGTAATATGATGGTATCCAGTTACCTTAAGGCTTGTTTTCTTTTGTTTGCTTTTGCACAGAATACAAGGAGATTTCTCTAGCACTGGGAGTGTAGCATGCTCAGGATCTCTCCAGAATTGGGAAGATAAAATTAGGAGGTATATATATAAAATATGTTTAGCTTTAACCTGTTCGGTTACTTTTTTGCTGGCCATGGCTGCTATGGCTGTGGGCAGAGCCTCTCTTACACCTGAGGTGACCTGTGTTCTAGCACCTGTGTTGATACAGGTACTTGCCTGGTACTTGCACTTTCTTTAAATCAATTTAGAAAAAACTTAAGGACCAAGAACAAGGGTTCATCTACAAGGCATTTGTGTTTTCTTTTATACTGTTGAGAACAAAATGTTTAGCTCTTTTTCTGCTCCCTTTCTCCATTACCTATACTTCCAGAGAAGAGCAGGGTGTCTCTTCATTCAGCACTGGGGCACAGGTGCTCATTTGACACAGCTGGTATTGTACATTTACTCGTGGCAGTGTTGTTCTAGCAAAACAGAGTGAATGGTGAGCAGCAGCTCAGCTGCTGTGTGAAATGGGATCAGCACACACCAAAGTCCAGTTATTTTGCTATTACTTTTATTTCCTACCAAAAGAAACTGCTACATTTCCAGAATGTTTAAAAATTGTAACAATCTGTATACATTAGTGAATAACAGTTACAACTTCTGTGTAGCTTTAAAACCAACAGGGCAAGTTGAAATCTGTACTGAGCTCTGTTAATTGATTGACTTCGCCTACACATCATTTAGATTATAATACCACTGATGTTCTAATTACAAGAAAAAAAATCACTTATTTTAAAGGCAGTAGCTGTTTTAAAATCAGTTTTAATTTTCTGATTTCATTTAAAAGTAGTTAGGTTTCTCAAATACATTTAAGGGGGGAAAATAATAGCTTACATTTCCCCAAAGATGCAGACAGTTTACAAAACTGTTTAAATTAAACAGCAAAACCTCATTTCTTAAGAGTAGTTTGTGAACCCTCATAGAGCAACACAAGCAAACACTTAAAAACCTATTTTAAAAATAGGTAACTGGTTTAAAAAGAAAAATGCATCAGGGTGAGGTAGTAGTCAGAGTGCATCCATAAATACCAACTCTAAGGGCTGAAGGGAAAGAAGAGTAGGCTTTCTGATTCCAGTGCTTTCTGCAGGTAGCTATTGGAAGGAATGAGAACAGTCTGACTGGTCTGTGAGACACCACATTCCAGCTGAGAGCACCACAGGGGTGGCTGTGCTAAGCAGGTGACATCTACTGCAGTGACCGGATGTGTTACGTGCTTGTTCTGGTGCTTCAATGAGCAGCAACACCTGGAGCTGGATTGGAGGGTCAAGGGCAGCACCCATTTAAATTTACTTTGCATGAACTTGCCTCCCCCTCCAATCAGGTTCAATCTCTACAAGCTTTGACTAAATCTCCAAAAATATAAGGAATGGTCCTGTGCAAAATCCCATGGAAATTCTGCTTTACACCTAATGCTTGCCTGCTCTGCCAGTGCACCAGATCAGTGTGGCTCTGACAGCGTCTGTCTCCCCTGCAAAGATCAAGTAAAAGCCTCTATGCTTTCTGCTCTAAAAACTGCTTTTTGCCGTACTAAGGACTGCACCTGAAGCTCAAACACTGACCACCCTGTTTCTGTTCCCTTCACTTGCAGCGCATGCTGCCTGCACTCTGCTGTGGAGGTACAGGTACGAGCCTTTTGTTCCTTCAGCTTGTATTCCTGCTGGCTCATCGCTGTCCACCTGCAGATCTGTGTGCTGGGCTGCTCTGAGCTCTAGCCCAGCAGGCAACTGGAGTTTTAGAAGCACTTCACTCTAACATGATCACTGAGAGCTGAACCAGTTCTGCTGGGTTTCTTGCCCTACCTAGTACATCTCCAAATGACAATTTCACAAGTTCATTGTATTGAGTCAAGACTAGAAAAAGAATCAGAAACTTGTTTCTTTTGCAGGTAATGCTAGTTATTGTTTAATGAATTTTACTGCCAAGATACCTATAGTGTATCTTTATTCTGCCAAGGGGGAACCTTTTAAATAAAAATAACAAGACATTGCAGGAAGGGATGTCTTGCCTAAATGAATGCTGCCTCTAGGACTGGGAATAGGAAAAGGCAACTAATTACATTCAAAATCTACAGCAACTCTCATGCATTCCCTTTCCAAAGAGGCTTACTTTTTGCTTCTTACTCTAATAGCATGGCAAAAAATGAAGTTCAATAGCTAATTCTAGACAGAGGGTCTAAGAATGACAAGTGATAACCTTGGTGAAATCCAAGAAATTCAGTTGAGCTGGTGGAAGAATTTTATCTAAATATCAAGTGCATTTTTTTGCTGTTCACAATTTAGTTATTGCTCAATAACTATCAAAAAGAACAGAGGAATACTTTCAGTTTAGTTTTATTATATTGTAACAGATCTGCAACTACAGCTTATTTCAGCTGAAACATTTTTGTATTCCAAACTCTTAAAAAATATCTACATTAATAATATTTTTCTATTCTTAAAAATAAAAAAATCTACCTAACATACCAATGCTGCTACAGCACTTGAAAGGGTGCATTATGTAAATTCTACGGTACATGTAATTACTCTTGCAGTCATTATTCTTTTCTTCTTTGCTGCTTTGGCTTCAGGTTTCAAAAAGTTTGTTAAAAGCTGTTCCAATTTCTGAAACCATGTCAGAGGCTGTCATTGAACGTCCGAATTTCTGAAAGGCTTGGTGGTTAGACTGTCTCGTGAGAGAGCAAGCTCCAAATGCAGCCACTAGAAATGGATTTTGACTGAAAGGAAAAAAACAAAAACCAACATTATAAAGAGAATCCGAACACTTCTGTGCAATCTGTAAGGTGCTGGACATTGTTCTCAGACTCTTGCACTGCAGAGCCTTTGTCTGAATTTTTTAAATCAAATACTTCCCTACCCATGGCATAGCATATGACTGAGTGAGAAACACCACCAGGGCCAAAGCACCCAAAAGGCTTAAAAAGTAGGGAAAGTGTTCCATGTCTAGTTTTACTGATGTGAAGCTTCATGCTTTCTTTCAGAGGAAGACAGAAGGTTCACCTGACAGCCTTTCAAACCCCTCTCCTCTCCCTTCTCTGGGTGCTCCAGGGCCTTCCATTAGATCAGCTTAAAAGGGTATAGTGGCAAGTGAACACCACAACACAAGCGAAAGCACTGCTGTAATGCCTCCTACACACTTATGAACTGCCCAAGAGTGTGTACCCAGACCCAGATCTGCAATGCTGAACCTCCCCTAGAGAAGCCAGCACAGTCCAGAGCCATCTCTACCAGAGCATCTTTTCATAGGCTGGGCCATGGGAGTCACTTCTGCTGCCTTAAAACAAAACAACTGCAGAATACTTCAGCAGCCAGTGCTGCACTTAGGTCTGGCAGATCAAAAACTCAAAAAACTCAGCTTCAGCAGAGCACTGCTGCCTGGAACGCACTGAAGACCTCCTGACTCCTCTGCCAAGTGAGAGTTTTGTGAAGGATCCCCATGTAATACACAGACAAAGGAGGACATGACTTTACAATTAGGTGTTACCTGAGTAAAATTTCCATGTAGTCATCAAGGTGCAGGAGTATGTAAGCCACCTTGAGAGTTAATCCTGCATGCCCAAATACTGCTCTGAAACAAGAGCTGTGTACAGCCTCCTGGGATCAAGGCAGCTAAAGCACTATACTCCAAGCACATCAGCATCCCCTCTACTCCAGTGAGGAACCCTACCTACTGTATCACTACTGTACCACACTACTGTACCTACAGCACCGCTGAAAGCCAGCACAATCTCAGTGTTTGAAAACTCTCTGTGCAGACTCATTTTGAAATGCCAGAGCCAGGCACAAGCTGGAAGGGCTGGCTGGACTGCCTGCAGTGCAGTCTCCAAGAGGATGCCCTGACTCACTGAACCCAAAAGGCTCCTCCTTTCCTGCAATATATGAGGTAGGCAGGATTGGTACAGCAGGTGTCTGTGAAGGGTCACCTTAACACCACTGCAGGAGAGACAATGCATTGCTGATGCCAATTATACTTTTCCTTCATCTATAAAATAAAGGAGTTTCTGAGCAAGCTGTTTAGAAAAGCCACAGGAGCTCAAGTCAGGAGAGCCTGGAAAACACATGCTGTTTGCTAATCTCTCCAGCAATTTAATACTGCTGTGGCTGTACCCCATGCCAAAATGAAATCACTCTTTTAACAACTTAAACCAGAATTCCTCCTTTAGTGGCAGCTGCAAATTCAGATGCCTAGAATGACAAAGGAAACCAAGATTGTGTATGTTCGATTTCAGAAATTTGAAGCCTGAGGTACCTTGTACAGTGCCCTTGTGGTAATACAAACACAGACTGGATAACTCCCAGGGACATCTGATACTGTGCACCTGCATAGAGCATCCGAAAGACTACAGGTCTCCACTCCTCAAGCTTCCACAGCTCCTTACTGAGAAGAGGGACTGTAACTCCCTGACTGTTTACGTTCCTTTCAATTTTATTTGAAGCTGCTGCTTTCACAGAAAGGCTCCGTGACTATCTGGAGCAGCTAGTTCAGCAGGAGCTGACGTAATTGAACTAAAAAGCCAAAAGCCATCTGTGTGGC